GACCATAAAAACAGTGAAATCAGAGTCCCTAAAAAAAATCTAAAATTACTCAACAATACCATGAATAAAAAAACATTTAAAATGAAAGCGCACATAGACCCCAGGGAGAATAGCCACTGTATATTTCCGTAGCTAACGGTGATCTAGATAAAAACAGACAAACAGAGGACACTACAGAGAATATTCTTTTTGTTTAATCAATAGAAGGAATATTTATCTATGTGCCCCAGCTTTACTGTGCCCCAGCTTTACTGTGCCCCAGCTTTACTGTGCCCCAGCTTTACAGTGCCCCAGCTTTACTGTATCCCAGCTTTTATTGAAATCCAGTACGTTTTGTGATATCAATCAAATCTTTAAATAAAACATGATTTTCTCTGAGTGAGCGATGGTGGCTGTGTTCCCTGCAGATCCTAATGGGCTCGTCTGGGGGCCTCTCTCTCTCTCTAATGGCCTATCTCTCTCTGTCTTGTGGCCTCTCTCTCTCTCTCTGTCAGCTGGACTCTCTCTCTCTCTCTCTTGGGGCCTCTTTCTCTGTCTGATGGCCTCTCTCTCTCTCTCTCTCTCTGTCTCTCTCTCTCTCTGTGTATTGTAGCCTCTCTCTCTGTGTATTGTAGCCCCTCTCTCTCGGTCTGATGGCCTCTCTCTCTCTCTCTGTCTGATGACCTCTCTCTCTCTCTCTGTCTCGCTCTCTCTCGGGGTCTCTTTCTCTGTATGATGGCCTCTCTCTCTCTCTCTGTCTCGCTCTCTCTCGGGGTCTCTTTCTCTGTCTGATGACCTCTCTCTCTCTCTCTGTCTCGCTCTCTCTCGGGGTCTCTTTCTCTGTCTGATGGCCTCTCTCTCTCTCTCTGGGTCTCTTTATTTGTCTGTTGGTCTCTCTCTCTCTCTCTCTCTCTCTCTCTCTCTCTCTCTCTCTCTCTCTTCTCTCTCCGTCTCTGTGTATTGTAGCCTCTCTCTCTCTCTCTCTCGGTCTGATGGCCTCTCTCTCTCTCTCGGTCTGATGGCCTCTCTCTCTCTCTCTCTCTGTCTGATGGCCTCTCTCTCTCTCTGTCTCTCTCCGTCTCTGTGTATTGTAGCCTCTCTCTCTCTCTCTGTCTCTCTCTCTCTGTCTCTCTCTCTCTCTGTGTATTGTAGCCTCTCTCTCTGTGTATTGTAGCCCCTCTCTCGGTCTGATGGCCTCCCTCTCTCTCTCTCGGTCTGATGGCCTCTCTCTCTCTCTCTCTCTCTCTCTCTCTGTCTCTCTCCGTCTCTGTGTATTGTAGCCTCTCTCTCTCTCTCGGTCTGATGGCCTCTCTCTCTCTCTCTCTCTCTCTCTCTCTCTCTGTCTGATGGCCTCTCTCTCTCTCTCTCTCTCTCTGTCTCTCTCTCTCTCTGTGTATTGTAGCCTCTCTCTCTCGGTCTGATGGCCTCTCTCTCTCTCTCTGTCTGATGACCTCTCTCTCTCTCTCTCTCTCTCTCTCTCTCTCTGATGCCCTCTCTCTCTCCGTCTGGGGGCCTTTCTCTTTCTCTCTCCGTCTCTCAGTCCAAACAGCAGCAGTATCGTGTTTGCTCGGCCCCAGACTCCACAAAGAGCTGTTCTGAGCTTCCAGGGGAAACCTATCCTTCCAGTGCATTATGCCCGAGCGGAAGCACCATCTCATTTTCTAACTGTCGCCATTTACTATGCAGATTTGGCCCCCAGCTCCTCATCCATTTTTGAACAAGTAGCTTCATTGGATTTCTATGGGGGCCAGCGGAGAGCCTTGCCAGAGCCACTGCACTCTCTCAGCCTTACATCGGCTCCATTATCAGCAGGAAGGAGCATCGGTAAAACGCTCCATCCGAGTGGAACTTTTTAATTGCGATCTTTTCGATGGCAGACGTTTTGTTAGGAGCAGCTAATGTACAGTGTTTTAGTTAATACAGTAAAGTGGAGTAACAGTAACTTCTCTCAGTGGGGAGCTGGCTGGATGTTTTTGAAGCGTTGCAAAATGGTTGGAATGGTTGCAAATGATTAAAATACACTACATCAGATTGTAGCACTCTGTTTTAATGAATGGTGGGCAGAGGAAAAGGAGCAGACGAGGAGGGGAAAGGCTTACGAAACTAGAAAAAGAAACATTCAGATCATACAAGGCATAAACAATCAGATTTAATTAATTTAGGCCAGTCCCTGTGCTCCTCAGATGCCGAGTTGGTTCACATGGCACTACAGATGGAGAAACAGGTTTGCTTTAAAGTCTATTCTCTGAGCCACATGAAGCCAGTGCAGAGACCTGAGAACTGGACTAATGTGACGGCACTTCCTGGTTCTAGTCTGGACTCAGGCTGCCTTTGAGCAGGCTGTTTGTTACAATAGTCTAAACTACTGGAGACAAATATAGGATAAGAATCTCAAAGCTGCTTTAGACACTGTATTTTTGGTCCTGGCAATGTTTTTCAGATGGTGAAAAGCTGCTGATGTTACTGATTTCACCTGGCTATAAAAAATTAAGTCTGAATCCATTATTATCCCTAGATTTCTGACCTGATTTGAAGGTTTTAGGGAGCGAGACAGGAGGTGACAAATAATGCTCTCTCTTTGTTTCTCTGGACCAAAGACGATCATTTCAGTTTTGTCTGTTGGTCTTATCTGTCTTGCATGTGTACATTATTAGATGTATTTTCAAGTGGATAAAAAACCCTTTCCCCAAAATGCTGTGGTGTAATTTATTGCATCTCAAGAATATAGCGGATTGACATGATGAGAATACTGTCATTGTAAGACTTTACTATTTCTAATAGATAGATAGATAGATAGATAGATAGATAGATACTTTATTGATCCCCGTAGGAGAAATTTGGGTGTCCAGTAGCAGCAAAAATTAAAAATAAAATTGATCATTATAAAAAGTAAAAAATAGTAGTAATCAGCAACAGCCCCTCAGGTCACAGCAGCAGAGGTGGAGAAGCCTCTGGGTGGAGCAGGACGGGTCAGAGCAGCAGAGGTGGAGTAGCCATACATGGGTGACATGTAGGTACTTCAGATTCCCAGGGAGTCCTCTAAAAGTGAAATTGAACAAAACCATATTTTGTATAATTGGGGAGTGTTTAGAATAAATCCAATATCTGTATTTGTAATATTAGCCGAACAATATATATCTGTATTTTTCATTCAAGGCAAAACATGAGGACGCCCTCTAGTGGTGAATACCGGATCTGCCTCCACCAATATGATAGCAACAAATAGTGAATGTCAAATAAAAGTGAATACGAAATATTTAAGACTTTTCAATGTGTTTGATGAGTTACTGAGCTGCAGCAAAACAATATAATATAAAATATAACAACTGAGGGATTTTATATTTTTATCTTTCTTTTTTAATGTTCTGCTATTATTTATGATTTTAATGCTTTCTTATTTTGTTCAGCACTTTGAATTGCCTTGTGTTTGAATTGTGCTATATAAATAAACTTGCCTTGCCTATATGTGGATTAGTGTGTGGTTTCAAAATACAATTTCACAAGAAGACAAAACAACAAACAAGATACTCCACAGTTCCCTCTTTCTCATAGAACACACACACACACACACACACACACACACACACACACACACACACACACACACACACACACAGACACACACTTACAGGCCCAAACATTGGGGGCCACAGTCGGGGGTCACAGGCCACATGAGAAACGTGAATCAAAGCCAGTCGTACTTCCTCCTGTGTCCCCTTTGGTTATGAAAGTCCTTCTGGTGCGATGACTAAAACACTGACTCAGCTCCCATGACCTCACGTGTCTTTTAAGTCGCTGCTGGAATCGTTTCAAAAGAATAGAGTGAATGATTCAACTCTAATGAAAGATTTGTGGGTTATAGAAATCTGACAAAGACTCGGAACACATCGTGGCGCTGGCTTTTGTCTATCGTTGTTGTAACGTCAGCTGATGAAGTGTACACGACGGGGCTGGAACCAAAGAGCTGCAGACACGTTCAGGAAACAGCCGGCAGCGCTCTCTATGACCTTATGTAATGAGCTCTTTAAATTCATGAGGAGAGCTTACTTTGGGGAAGAAAGAAGGCCGGCGTTTGTTGGCCAATATCTCCAACAAATGCACTTAAGCAGTGTACACAAATCTGGGCTGTGGAGAGTCCAGGCACAGCAGATGTAACGTGGAAAAGGTGTTGTTTTGCCTCACTGATGCATATTCTTTTTTTTTACTTTACATGTAACTGGTTTTATTGAAGAATAAAATGTGTTTACAAGTATTTTAAAACAGACAATGTTTAACAAGACCTTCTCCAGGTTTTCTGGACTGTATTGACATTGCTCTGAGGTTCTAAGCCTAAGCACAAGTCTGAAATCTAATATTCTTCTGTTTTTGCTCTTTTTGTAATTTGTTTAAGTAACAACCATTATCTTCATCATAACCCACAGTGTGTCAATGTGTCCCCCCAACAGTTTGGACACCCCTGTTGTTCTTCAGTTATGAGTGCTATCTGATTTGTGTGTCGCCCCCTACTGTGACAATGTGGAATGGAGCCGTTTGAGATGCCTAAACAGCAGCATAGCCATCATGCTACCGTTTTACTGTCAACACTGCAAAAAAAGCGTTTTGTTACCTCACCGCCCCATGAACCTTTCAGGAGTCTATTTTTGGGTCTGAAGTTGTTTTAATTTATTCGATGTTTATTATTATTAATTCTTATTCATGTGTGTATGTATTTTTGTATTTATGATAATATGTTTATAATTATTCATACATGCATTCATAATTATCAAGGTATTATTTGTTAATGTATTTATTCATTATCTGTCTAATTAGATAAGATTCAGCTTTATTGTCATCACAAAGTCAGAACAATGCGACAGAATGCAGTTTAGCATCTATCCAGTACAATAACGTAAGAATAGGATAATATTTAAAACACAGATAAATATATGTGAAACTGTACTCTATTTATTCATTTTGATTCATGTATTATTTATTTGTGAATTTATTGTATTAAACGCCTCTCTCTCGCCCCGCCCCCGCAGGTGGTCAGCTTCACCAGCCTGAAGTTCGACCGCTCGTACAACTGGATGGTGCTGTGCGTGCTCTGGTGCTCCATCGTCCAGTCCATCCTGCTGCCCATGTTCCTCTGGGCCTGTGACCGTTACCGTGCCGACCTGCGCATGGTGTGGGACAAGTGCGTGGCCATCATGTCCAACGACGACGTGGACGAAGGTACGAACCCCCCAAACTCACCCTCCATCCTCCCCCTCCTCCCCCTCCCGTCCCATGCGCCTGCCTCTGCCCCCCCTCTCTCTCTGTCCGCCGTGCTGTGTGGTGCTGCCTTTAACGAACATACAAGATAAAATAAACTGTGGAGAAATGTACAGTTTATATATAGATATTAATCAACCAATCAACATTTATCCTTCTACTGCCATTTGTGTACAAGGGGATTCAAAGTCCAATCCATGCAAAAAAAAACAATAATCATCAAAAATACATTAATATTCAGTCATTTCATATTATAAAAAATAGTTACAAAAGTCCATGCATTTCTGTAGGAATAGCAGAGATTAGAGGTTTTCACACCCAGCCAGAAATGTCTTTCTTTTGGCCACTTTTATAGAAATGATCAATTTAATTCAATTCCATTTACTTTCATATGAACCTCTAATTTACGTTTTTGAAGAAGCTATTGGTGAAAGCTGTTGATTCACCCAGAGCAGATCAGAGAATCAAACAGCACGAACAAAGGAAATGCAATAATAGCAAACACTATAAGGCCTGGATGACAAATGTCCACAAATGTAAAAAAAAAAAAAAAAAGGCCCAGATCATCACCACTGAACTCTAACCCTCCTGCATTGGCAAAGAACGACTACAAAAAACCAGTGGGGAAAAATAGCGGGAAATACACAGCGGCAGGCAGGATTCCGATCAAGAGTTAGACGAAGAGTTTTTCGATGACTTTCTGAAACATGACCAAACTTTTGACGTTTCTGGCTGTGTAAATTCTCCAGCACTACTGTATATAGAATGATGATTGCAGAGATTTGCTGTTACCGTTACATACTTGGACCATAGGAATCACAGTGACAGTCTGATTTATGAAGCAGGACGGTGTTTTCGTGGCCGAGGGAGTCTGCATAATGGGAAAACCGCTGTAGACCGGAGAGAAAGGGGTCAGCGCTCTGCAGTGTTTCACGTTGAGTTATGTGCGCGTCATACAGACTGATATTGCGCCATTTAGATCATAACGTTCAATATTCCACTGAGAGGAATGAAGATGGGTGTTGTGCGGCGAGACGAGAAGCCTTTATGTTAAATGAACATAGTGTGTTTGGGCACGAGGGTGTATCACGTGAATTTTCTTTCTCCCTTCTCTGCAATACAATAAATGACCAGTAGAGGGATCCAAAAACACCACTTACATTGTTGGCAAAATAACTCAAATCAACAATATTTTTGATAGCGGTAAGCGTGGTGCGACCATTTCTGACAAATAATATGAGCACTAAGCAGTTATAAGTGACATTTACAACATTCAATTCAAATTTTTCTTGTATAGCATGAATCCCGGTCGGAGCAGGGTATTTCTGGTGGAGTTTGCATGTTCTCCCCGTGCCTGTGTATGTTTCCTCTGGTGCTCCAGTTTCCCCTACCACTAAACACATGTGCGATAGTTTAATCCTCCAGCTGCGGTAGTCCTGACCAAGCTGAGCCTCAACATCTGGAGATGGGTTCCCGGGCGCTGTTACTACGGCAACCACTGCTCCTGACGTAAGCCTATACTGGCATCAGGATGGGTCAAATGCAGAGGCTGAAATATCCTACAGGGATAAATAATGTGCGCATTTACCTTTAGTGATCTTGGAGGAATTTCCAAAACCATTGAATTTGCCAGCACAGGTCAGAGAATTACAATAAATGCAATGACATAAAAACACATAGAGTCATTGGTCCATAAGGGGCAGACGACCAATGTCCATAAATGTTGGTGAATGTCGAGTGTGCTGAATTATCACTGTCTCCTGCATCCCCCCTGCAGGAGATTCCAAGTGTTCCAGTTTTACCCGACCACAGAAAACATGTATCATAGTTCCTCTCTCTCTGGGACCAAGACTCCCCTGAAAAATAGATTCCCCTGAAGAATAGAAATCGAACATTATGGACATTTATCAACATGTATGGACATCGGTCATCTGCCCCTAATGGACTTATGTCTCTATGTGTTTTTATCATTGCATTTCTTGTGTTTGAACTGTTTGATTTTCTGATCTGTGTTGGAATATTCAGCAGTTTTGTTAAGTCCTCTCAGATAACTATTGTTGTGATTAATGCCTAGCATACATCGGACTGGCAACTGATTACATCCGTCGCATATGAGTTGTTGCCCCGCACACATCGACAATCTGGCAAAAACAGGCACCTCCTCGTAGCAGGCCAGTCTCAGGAATAACAGCGCGTACATCGACAGCAACTGGCCTCAACTACAGTGTGTTTTCTGACATAAACTGTTGCGGGCTCGCAATACACGCAATACAATCTGAGTACAACTAGTTGCCGAAAAGTAGAACACGGGCAACTGACTGAATCCGGAGATCGACTGTTTATCTCCAGTTGTAAGAGCGCGCACATCGACCGATTTCAACTGATCATCTCCATCATCTCCAGTTACTCTGTCGATGTACACTAGGCTTTAGGGATATACAAGAATATATTGAATTGAAATCTCAGCGGAACTTTCCCGGTCAAATAAAAGTCAATAAACCAAATAAATAAAAGGGGGTGAAATCCTCTTTTTTTCAAACTAAATCGTGTCATATCTTTCAGAAATATGGTCCCAGAGAGTTACTCAGTCGTCATAGATCTTGCACTGTCACTGTGCGGCCCATAGGTGTCCACAGTAGTTCAGAAACAGCGACTCATCATTCTCTCCACTGTGTCTGCATCATATCGATCGTTGTGTGTGCACAGCTGAATCTTAGGAAATTAGAGTATGGTGAGTCCATTTACTTTTGTGACTCAACTTACACACACGACAGTAACACATGACACACTCCTTACACACAGTGACACGTATCAGGCCTTTTTTTGTTCTAATGTTGATGACCGACTCACAGCTGTAAAAAAATTAAAAAAAATAAATAACAATTTCTGGAAATCTTAACATTTTGAAGATGGACTGTAAGCCATAATTATACACATTATGACAAACAGAGACTTGGTATTTGTCGCTCTGCAGGAAATGAATCTTTATCATGTGTTAGTTTTAGGTTGAATTACAGAAATAAATGGACTTTTAAACAATATTCTATTTTTCTGATTCACCTGTATTCATGTGACCGTCTGCAGCCAGGGTGGACAGGCTCTGTGTGTGCGTGTGTGCGTGTGTGTGTGTGTGTGTGTGTGTGTGTGTTTGTGTGTGTATCTACGTGTATACATATGTATACGTGTGGGCTCCAATGTGTGTGTGTGTGGATATGCATGTTTGTGTTGTATGTGACTCTTTGTGTGTGTGCATAAGTGTGTTTGTGTGCGTGCATGTGTATTTGTGTGTGTGTGTGTCTGTGTATCTGTGTTTTTGTGTCTGGATATGCATGTTTGTATTGTGTGTAGGTGTGTTTGTCTTTGTCTCTGTGTGTACCTATTTATGTATGTGTATGTATGTGTGTGTTTGTGTGTTTGTGTGTGCACTCTGCCCCTCTAAACGGCTGTGGCTGCGATAAATGTGTGTCCAAAATGAAAAGATGACGCTCAGAGCACTTTTTTGTTCTACTCCATTGGTCTTAAACTGAAGCCGAGACACAAATGCATTCTCCATTTACGACTGGCACTGAGGCTGAAAGCACTCTGACGTCCTGGCGATGGTCATATTTCCCTCGAGTCACAAAGAATGCTCACTTTGTTTTTAGTTCGCTTTTTGCTTTGAGTAATAAACGTTATTGCATTTGTATTTATTTCTCTCTCTTTCCCTTTATTACATCAGAGCTAAAAGTAGACGTTTTTGAACACTGCACAAAAATACATCTTTTTTTTGTCTAACTTTTTGACGTTAAACCAGACAAATTATCAGTTATTTGTTTTAGCCGCAATAATGGGAGAAGAATTTGTTCTGATAGAATAAAATAGTCATTTCAGAAAGTCAAAAAATGGAAATATAGAAAAGTGTATGTGTAACAATATCAATCAGAATCAGAATCAGAATCATTTTTATTGCCAACGTAAGTAACGGGAGGTCACAGACTTGGAAATTGCTTTGGCTCAGTGCAACAGTCAAAAAGAGATAATAAAAATAAGAATAAAAAACACTTCTAAAGAATAAATTTAAATTTAAAATAGAGTTACAGTTACTATTTACAATATACAAGTGCACATGGTGCACACAATGTAAGGTGACTGGTGATCAAACCAGTGTAGCAACAGTTTTCTGAAATTACAATTATTATTATTTTAATGTATATGATAATAATAAATGTGTTATTGATGCTCATTGATGGCCTGGTACCGGAAACAAAAGCAAACGTTCAGGACCAGAAGTGACATGGATGAAATGAGCCTGTAAATAGCAGAAGAAGAAAAAAAATAGTTTAAAGCCACTGTTTTGTTTTAATTAAAATCGAGAGCTGTCAAAATGTATGATTTCAATCTCACTCCCTCGCTCAGCATTTAACCCGCCTTGTGACCCTGGCTGTATCCGAATGTCCACACTATACCCTATTCACTCACTCACTATATAGTTCGGGACTATATAGTGCACTATATAGGGTATAGTGTGGACATTCGGATACAGCCCTAGTCGTTTAAAGAAGCTATACCCGATTTATTTTCTAATGAGTTCATAATAATGCATATTACTGCATACAAGTTGTATTATAATCTGTAACTTAATTGAAAACTTGAGCTCATTGATACAGCTTGTGTATGAATTCAGGCCGTATAAAAGTGCTGAGTAGAGACTTAGCGTGACGGTCGTTCTCCTCCAATCACAGAACGAGGCTGCGTCCTCTAGCCTCTACAGCGCTGCTAAACACAGTAACATGTTAGCAGAATTAGCTATAACTCCTCTTGCTGTAACTGCAGACACAGAAAAACAGCCCAAACAACACAACAGTGAGGAAGAGAAGAGGGAACTAAAGCGAAAAAATTATCAAAGAAGAAATGAAGTCTGGGTGAACATAGCTAGCTTACATCGTATCCTCTGGAGAGACTTGTCTATGGGAGAGACCTGCGGGACCTCCTCGGACTATCTATGGTCGGACTACATTCGGACGCAAAACTAGCTGTAATCTTTCAGTTATATATTTTGTTAGCGGTGCGTTGCTTTTGTACATCAGTGATTGTTGTACAGCTCAAGTTGCGCTCATGCTAATGTTAGCATATGTATCAGATCGCAAATAAAACTAGATGTCTCCGTGGGATGAGAGCGTAGGGGAAATGAGAAGCCTGTGAGCGAGTCGAGGGGCGGGGCTATACATTCAGACCTTGCAGAAACGGGTATAGCTCCTTTAACTGAAAAAAGGTTCCAAAACTAGTCACACATCACTCTTTCCTTTAAAAATGTAAGAGCAGAGGGAAAACTTTGTTGATTTTAGAAATGTTAGTATTTAGACGCACACAGACCACTGACTCATGTTGAAGTGCTCTGTCCCTCTGCCTGGAGCTGAACAGACAGGCCCCAGATGTTACGTGATTACCAAAAGTGTGTTATACTGTATTTATGATGGCAATTTTATTTACAATAACTGTTCCAACGTTTCATTTACGAGACGCCTTTGAAAGCATCACAAAGTTTCGCATGCTCAGTGGGCACATGGAGACGTCAGTAACTTTTCAAATCGGTCATCTGCTCCTGAGGAAGAGACGGTGAAACCTTTTGAAGACAGTGGTTAGACCCGCCCACATTCACCTCCGCAGCCTCCTGATTGGACGAAAATAACTCAAATCTCCCCACTGTGGGACAAATATAGATATAATTTATTCATTCATTCAAATCCCAGAGGCCCCAGACTCATGCCAAGGGGACGGAGTGGTTCAATATAATATAGTTGAAAAATACATAAGCACAATTTTGAAAAAGTTGCTGACATCAACTATTTCGGTTTGGAAAAATGGCAAATATAGTCAGTTTTTTTAGGTATTTGCGTGCTCTGTATTCTTATGCTCTGTAAATGTTCTCACACTGCAAAAAATGATGGAAAATACGTAAACAAAATGTATCTTAATTTGAGGACATTCTGACTGTCTTAAAACAATAAATTCCAATGGGACAGAGCAAAATTATATTGTTTCAAAAAGATTTAAGAAATGTCTCCCTTTGAATGAGAAAATAAAGCAACAGCTCTTGAATTAAGACTAAATGGCTTTGTCCCATTGGCGAATCTTGTCAGAATGTCCTCAAATGAAGACAAAAACCAATCAATTCAAGCAATTTTCACCTCATATTTTATCTTTCTTTGCAGCACAGACGCACATAGCATCCAGCTGAACATATTTCCCAAAACTAAACATTATAACTCCAAACAGACGACAAGCAAAGATGACAGAATGTTGTGGTCCGGCTCTGGTCACTGTGTCACATGACAACCACACAACATCCTGGTTCGATCGGCCCTGTTTGAGCCTTTCTTCCTGTTCTCCCCTCACCCCGATCCCCTCTCCCGACATCATGCTTCCGGTAGCCCACCAGTCCCCCAAACCCAAACCCCCACGCAGCCACACCAGCGCCCCCTTGTGGACAATAATAATCTGTGCTTTCTTGCAGAGGACATGCCTTGTATAACCCATCTCAGTTGTATGTATATATATATATAAATATTTGTTTAAAAAGCGTTTGGTGTTTTGAAAGCCGCTGACGTGCATGTGGGCTGGGGCTGCTTCTGCCACGTGCCATCTTCATCATTTACGATTTCATCATCTTCAATTGATCTTTGACGAACATGAACGCAGGATAGACGGTGTTTTGTCGCTGTCGGCTGGTGCTCGAACACAACCCACTGTAGTCAGGGAAGTACACTGCGAAGAGTGGTCAAAAATGAGCTAATAAATGCTTAAATTAAGGTTTTTATCTGAATTTTAGCACATTCTGACTGTCTTAACCCTGTAAGCGCCAGAGGGTTTTTTTTCCTAAAACGCTCAATTTTGACATTTTCATTTCAAAAGGCTGTAACTTAAAAGTGATCCGAGATAAAGGCTTTCTGTAAATTAGAAAAATATTAAGGATGGCCCAAAGTATATGTAGGGAATAAGTGTACCCATTTGGAAATGGTGTATTTTTTTTTTATTTTTATTTTTTACTGACAGACAAAAAAAGCACTTGGACATCAACACGCAAGATTTGCAAATGGGAAAAAGCCATTTAGCCTTTTTTCAAGAACTTCCAATTTATTTTCTCATTCCAATGGAGACAGTTCTTGCATCTTTTTAAACCAAGATAACTTTGCTTGTCCCATTTGCCAAATCTTGATTTAAAGCAGTTAAAATGTGCTGAATTGAGCATTTTTTAAACTTATTTTTCATCACTTTTTGCAGTGCAGTATCCCCGACATCTAAATTTCCTCATTGAGAATCACAAAACCAATTGCCGTGTCTCTCTTATCTCTCCGTGTGTCTGTCTGTCTGTCCTGTGAGTCTGTTTAATTCTGACCCAGTGCTTCTCTGCACTTTGCAGAACACAGCCAAGACGGAGGGATTCATGCCGACTTAATATATGACAGACCCTTTGAATATAACGCGGCGCCCGAAATGGTGGCAGTAGACCGCAATGCCAAGTATGAGTTCTCAACCTTAGAAAGGGGGGTGTCCCAAGGGTATCCAGTGAGGGAACAACAGGAAGATAAAATGCAGTATTTGCAGGTATTTTTTAATTAATTTTCCTGATTTATTTGTCTTGTCAAATTATTTTGGATTAACATAGATTGATAAATGTATAGAACCCCTAATGTTCCCAAAAAAGACATAAAAAATAAATACATCTCAAGATATTTTTTATATATTTTTAGGGGAACTTTAGGGGTTCTGTAAAAATGCATGAAACAAATAAAAGTGAATTATTGTAGAATATTTTGTGTTTTTAACATTCCCTCAAAAATGCCACATTTATTTTGCTCTTTTGGAAAATGAAAACACTCTCTGGCCGACTCACGGTAAATATGACCATCTGCAGTTTCACCACTTGTCCCTGTGCTGCTGTAAGAAAAAACTACATCAACTGCTTCATAGAGACCACAGAGTTTATTAGACCAAAATCATGCTCATGTTCGAGACAACGACAATGCTCCCAACAACAAACCCAGACCAGAGTCCTCAGCAAAAAACTGCATTCCCTTTGTTCTAATGCTGTAGATTCCCATGACATTATATAAAGTGTAGAGTCTGGTCTTGGTGAGGGAGAGTGAGAGCTCTCACAAAACTGATGCAGCACTTACACCATACGGGCTCAGCAAAAAGTCATTTTCAAGAAAGTACAAAAAATATATATATAAGTGATCACAAAATTTAGATTCTTGAAGTCACTTATTTGTAGCAAGTAGGTCAGGGGTCTCCAACCTGTAGCTCGCCACCCCCTTCAAGGTAGCTCGCCAAAGGATTTAGAAATGAGAAAAAAATCAAATAATATACTTCATATTTCAGATTGTGTTATTCATTCTCATTATATATTACTGTAAATGCACTTACTTTGTTCACTCGTAACAAATATATGATGATAAATAATGACTGTTCCCAATATCAGGCTCGTTCACACCAATACATCACCACTTTTTATTTTTCCAAGGGCAGCTTAAAGTAGTAGCTCTCTGCCTTTATCGACCCATGAAAGTAGCTCTCTGGGTGAAAAAGGTTGGAGACGCCTGAAGTAGGTGCATTTGCTTCAGTGACTGTGTAGAATATCCTCAGACTGATAGATTTTTCTTAATCAAACCAAAAGAAGGGAAAACAATTGTAATCCCTTTCATTAATCCACCTGCCTGCAGACATCCCTTGGCGGAAACAGACAAAAAAAAAATGCTTTTGTTCTTGTTTCATACAAAACAAAAACAAACAAAAAAGAGACACATTTTTACTTGAAATTTTAGATATTTTTCTAATTAACACAAGAATAAATTAGAATTTGGCATCAGTTTTCAGTTTCTATTATCAGGGCTTTATTTTTTTCATTCATGACTGAACTGTAAATGTTGCTTCAAATAAAACAGGCACATTTTAAACAGTTTGTTCTTACTTGAAGCGAGCGACTTTTTGTGCTCTAAGTGACTCTATGCATATACTTTCATGAGTCCGGTGTGGTTTAGTGCTGGATCATGGCCACATTCTCTGAGCCCTAAACCAGAGATGCATACAGTAGCTATCACCACATCTGTCCCACATCCCCCAGTCGTGTCTGTGTCCGTTAGACCAGCTGCAGTCTGAATGCAATGTGAATGTCAAAATACTGTACAACCGGTAAAACAGTGTGTTTCATGTCATCTCTATGGAAGGGTTCAGGCCCGCCTCACCCTTGTTGTCATTGCACACAGCGCGTCCATTTGGTAAGTGCTACTCCTACAGGCACTTCTCAACTGGTCTGACCCTGTCCCAGTCCAGCTTCACGTGCTTGTGTCCTGTGTGTGTCCATCCTCTCTCCGCTGTCCTGCCTCTGACCCACCGTGAATGCTCGTGCTGCCCTCTGCTGTGAGTCTAGTCTGTGACACTAAATGCTACTGTATGGTCTCTGATGTTATTTCTCCCGCACTTACTAAAAGCTGCCAGAGGGGGGCAGGCTGATGTCAGTCTTGTGGCTCTTGACCTGACCTTTACAAATCCTCTCTCTCCTGCCTAGTTGTCAGAGCAGAATGGAAAGTGAGTATTGACCAGTAGGAGTTATTTGAGTCCTCTACAGTCCCAGTGAGATATCTGAGGGACGGCTTTTACTCGCTTTAGGCTGTTTCTGCCAAGATAGAACTGCATGTTGCTTTTATTATAAGGAACTTTTGCAGTAGTGTCCCTAATTCTTTAAACCAGGGGCGTCCAAACTTTCTTCATCAATGGAATAAAAAACGTAGACCAAGCAGATAGCGTGTTAATTTCTGCTTCGTGAAAAAATAGTATTTATAAACAAGATAGATAAAGTAGTAGTCACAAACATTGCCAATGTGATTAAATTTACTGTGTTAAAATTAAGGCTTACACCACAACAACAGGCATTACTTAAAGATGTCAAATAGAAAAGAAAAATATATATATTTTGTGAAATGTGCTATATAATTAAAGTTCACTTACTTACTACTTACTAGGTTTGGGAAAAGCAACAATTGTTCAAGGGTAGAACCAATTGTTCTCATTCCAAGTCAGATTTTTTGTATGCAGGGATGTTGATTAATATACACTGTAATATACACACAAAAAAACATAAAAAAATGGTTGTCCCTTTGGCTGATAGTTTTATGAAAATGTACACAAATAGAGATACATTTAAGACAATTAAAGCCATTTTAATTTTGTTTTCTTTTTTTTTTTTGCTTTGGGACTAGAATATAATATAAATTACCTATTTGACTTAATAAAAGCATTGTGCATTTTTAGCAGGTTTTCTCATGGAACAAACATGCTGTCTTGTTGTATGTATGTAAAATAGGTAAAAAGAAATGTATGCATATAAAAGTAGGTTTAAAAGTAGGCTTAATGTAATTTTCTATTTTTTTTGTTCACAAAGGACTCTGATACATGATTTACAAATTGTGACCACTAAATTTTTTTTGATTTGGCTGTGGTACATCTTGCAGCTCTAATAGATAGATAGATAGATAGATAGATAGATAGATAGATAGATAGATAGATAGATAGATAGATAGATAGATAGATAGATAGATAGATAGATAGATAGATAGATAGATAGATAGATAGAGAGAGAGACAGAGATACTGTAGACACAGACAGACAGGGCTAAACTGCATTGGAGCCAAAACAGATAAAATAAATAATTACCACATAATATATTTGGATAAGTTTGGACGCCCCTGTCTAGAATATCGATAAGTAAGAAGCAAATAGACAATAAGCAGTCGCCAAGTTCAATGAGCGAAGAGAGGCCAGTGTGACGACGAACGTGTATCAGAAGTGCATGAAGAGTCAGTCCTGTAAAATCCTACACTAACTTTAATACTGAGACCAAAACAACCGATTTCACTCCTGAACCTGCGACATTTCCAATAAGCTGACCTCTCCTTTCATAAATCCTTCAGATAACCTCCTCAAAACCTCATTTTCAGACATGGTTATTTTCTAATGGACTCCTGTGAGAAACAGGCACAGTGTGTTTGTAATACCTACTGCAGATAAGGCTCCTATCCTCCCATTGAAGAAGCAAAACATGTATTTGGCTGATTTATCCTGAGCTCTAGATATTACATGATCTGTGCTTGTTCACCGCATTATTAAAGCTGGGGTACTTTAATTTTTCTCATAGATTACACACATTGTTACAACAGAGAGAGGCTTGTATAAGTCAAAATTGGTAAATATCAGACAACAAAATGCTGTGTTCATTTGATTTGAATTCAACTAAAATAGATTATTTTTGTAGAGCCCTATTGTAGTTATCGCCGAGGACTTTACAAAGTTGTCGATTCGCCAACACAGATCAGAGAATCACACAGTTAAAAAGTGTGTTTGTAAAAATGTAATATACATTTTGCATATGTATTAGAGATTCAATTCATTTTATTTTGTATAGCTCTTAATCACAACAGCAGTCGAATCTGAGGACTTTACAAAGTTGTCTATTCCTCAAAAAACAGATCTGAGAATCAAACAGGAAGAGCCTTGCGGGTCACTATGTAGCACTTTGGGCTGAGAGCAGATTGGCTTAGCGAGTGTTCCTCTTTTTCACTTTTGTGTCTGAAAAAGCTGATCTGAAAACACGTGACAGCGAAAACGTAGCCCAGCTTTAAATCCTTAATGTTATTTGTCATGAAATCGCTCATGTCCTGACTTTACTCTAAATAAGTGCGTGTCGCCTCCAGGTGCCGCCTACAAGAAGATACTCCCACGACGAGACCGACATGTGGACCATGGACCGGATCCCCTCCTACCTGCAGCGCTGGGGCTCTACCGAGGACATGATAGTGAGTGCGCACTACAGCTGCACCTTGCCACACCGGCACGAGAGGCGCAGGAACAGCCTGGCGACCTACCACGAGGAGAGCCAGCACCCGCACCGCAAACGCCGGCGCTCTGAGGACGCGTCGCTCCGGCACCTGCCCCGCGTCCTGTACAGCGGCGAGTACTACGGGGACGAGCTGCGCTGCTTTAGCCGCGACGAGGTCATCAACTTCATCGACGAGACGCCCATTCCGAGCCCGAGGAAGAGCCCCCGCCGAGCCTCCGCCGTTCTCTACATCCCCAACGTGTACGACCACCACGCCGTCCTGCCGCACTTCCCCCTCACGGACTTCGAGCGCGAGCCGCAAGCGCTGAGGCGGGACCACCACAAACGGACCGGCAGCCGCGGTAGCTCCCCGGAGTGCTCCCCAAAACCCGCGGCGAGGAGAAGTGTGAAAGGGGAGGAGCAGGAGGCGAGAGGAGAGAGAACGTCACCTGGCAGAGCGCGCCACTCCTCTCCCGGTGGCAGCGGCGGCGGCAGACGACCCAGGACTGGCAGCAACGCACGGGCTGGATGCGCAGCGGCGGCGATAGCGGCGAACTCGGAGCACAAGAACTTAAAGAAAGCGGAGAGTAAAGGCAGCTCGAACAGTTTTGTAAGCACGCCGTCCGCCTCGTCTTCAGGGTACATCACGTTTCAGTCGGACTCCGCTTCCTAGAGAGAGGACGTAGCACTTTGACAGTCTTTGATTTTTGATTTTCTGCCGCGCTGTCGGCGTAAAGCGGAGGTAAAGGATTACGGCACAGACTTTTTAATGATGCCGCTCTGAGCAACTACTTTGAATCCTGCCAATGAAAACATGCAATGCTTTATGACTTCAGACTTTGAGAATAAGAAGAAATTGTTATTTTTGTTTCATATCCAGGCCATATGTTAAAGTTCAAGATGCACTGAGATCACTGTTGTTTTCAATGGACATCCCCACTCCTTGTTTTGCTGTTTTGATGTTGTTTCCTTAAAGGTTAAATGCAAAGTGATTACCGGGAGCTGGTGTTCGAGTGTTGTATTTGCACTTTTCTTTCATCTTTTTGCCTTTTTATTCAACGCTATTTGGGTGAAAAGAGAAATCTGAAAATGACCCAATAATTTGGAAGTGTTATAATTTACATGGAATTGTTTTATTGTAATTTGTTGTAGTTTATAAGAGTATCTTTTGGTCACTTCTTGGAATACTTCTAGTTGGACCGTTTAGTATTGAAATAGAGGTGGAGTTGTGACGAGCCCTAATGACCTGAATAACTCTTCAAACGTGTGCATAGTAGTAAATATACAGTTCTGTATATGACGGCTATCGGTCCATGGTTTTGATGTTCATTTGTTCAGTTGGGCCTCGTCCCTTTACTACATACATGTGTTACCTTTGTTCACCAAGATGTTTCATTTTTACACAACATTAAACATTTCAAAAGGGATTTGAATTAATCATTTCTTTCTCTCCGGGGTTTTGACAGGTTTCTATCAATAACTAAGCACTCTCAGTGGTCAAATTAAGTTATTTTTACAATTACAATCACATGTTTGTTACCAGAATATTCCAGCCTGTGGCACTTACCTCCCGAGCACTGCTTACTACAGATGCAATCCACCTGCTGGGGTTTTGCTAGAAACAGTGCAGACTATATGTTTTGTTTAGTTGTATTCAAAAAGTGAGGTGCTATTTTTTGTTGTTGTTAAGTAAAGGATAATTGCCAATCCCTTATGCCCACCCGCAGTCTTAAACACAAGTGTGGCTCTCAGCTGGTCTGGGAACGCCTCAGGACCCCCCAGAGAGAGAGAGCTGTAGGAGGTGTCTGTGGAGGGGGAAGTCTGCACCTCTGCTCAGATGGCTGGGAGCCAAAAAAATTGCCTTTGCAAACGACCGAAAATGTCTACGTTTGCATTTTGTATCAAATGAATGGAGCAGTAAAAAAGACTGGTTTTCTAAATATGAAGAAAGTTATGAAAAGCAAAGGTTTCATGAACGAAGCCATTACACTTCCAAAACTAAAACTGTTAGTGTTAAAAAGAGTAAAAACACACACATTTCTGGATAAACCAGGTACAGATCTGTTTAATGACGATATGCCGGAGAGCGCCCGCTCCAAACTCTCCCACTTACAGTACGACATATGGATTCTGAAGCAGACAAAAGTGGCAGTTTGAAAAAGCACAGTATAAATACAAAGTCCACATGCACGAGTCCCAGGTCCAGGAGGTGTTTTTGCTTCTCTGCTTGTTAAAGGCTGGTGCAGATGGGAGCAGGGGATCAGGGGGAAGGCAGAGCGGTACAGTACTGGTTTTTCCAATCACACCCTCCACAGAAGCATGGAAGACTCCAGAAGGAAATCAGCAGGAGATTATAATACTGAGAAAACTGAACCTGCAGCCGTATTATCAAAGAGAGAGAAGGGCAGGGGAGAGGCTGAGTGTGGGTCCAGCTGGGTCCATATTATTGCCTCTACAATAGTATGACAAGTTTGTGAAGCCAATTCATAATGCAAATGTTTTTAGATAAATGTTCATTCATAATGTTAGAATTTTTTCATGAAATAATTGAATAAGATAAATATTGGACCTTTTAAGACACTTTTATAGCAATACTACACAGCTGTTTTTTATAAGTACATAGATATGTAAGTCTAACAATATTTATTTCAAAACCCATAAAATTTTCAGGACCTAGGAAGTTATTTCCTTTTTCAATGACTTTTCCAGGTTTTCAATGACTGTAAGGAATCTTTCAATTTGGCCTGATTGAAATTGATTTGATTGATTTTTTGGGTCCATTACAAAGCTCTTCAAGGCTTTGGATTTGGCTTCATGAAATTTATCATATTTTGAAATACTGACTGACAACACATTTGTCCTTCAGCCCCTGCCCTCCTTCCATAACGTGACCACGATCCACTTGGCTGTATATTATTAAAACTATGGGACAGGTTTCTTGCGGAGACAGTAGGTCTGACATAGTGGTGTCAGGTGGCCAGCCACAAAAGTACATCATATCTGCATATCTTAAGTTAAAACACTTTACTCTTTGCTTCACTACTTTACAATCACTGTACAATACTTTGAGCTGACACACACACACAGCACCGTCTGAGCTGTGCGCACATAACAACCCGGGAGTATTCCTTTGGAGCAATAAACGCCATGAAATAGTTAAAATAAAAGACATTTTGAGTGGCTTTACACAAGTTAATGCTAAAAACTGTGCCCCGAGAGTCACCTTTTGGGCTGAGAGCTGTTCTGGCTTGGTAAAGGTGGTCCTCTCTTTTTCATTTTCATGTCTGAAAAAGCTGGAGATAAATACAGCCACATTCTTGCCAAGTTCGTTCATTGTGGTCAGCCATGTTCTAAGTTTAGTGTATGTGTGAAATGTGCTATCTAAAAATATGTCCTTCATTTCTTCCTCTTTACTTTCAAAGCTAATTATACCCAGGGATATTATCTACACATCAGACATCAAACTGTGCGTTCCCAGCAGATGTGAAGAGAACAGAGCGGTGTCACAGGTTTTTTTCTTTTTTTTTTACAATACCATTCACAATCATGAAAATACAGACACAACAAAGGACACACCCTTGCACACTCTTCGGGACATTCACACGAGTTAACGCTACACAACACAATCATAGCATAAGGTTTGAACTTCATCTTAGAAAAAAACACATACGAAATTTCATCAGCTATATTACAAATAAAACTTACAAATTTTCAAAAAGCTCTCCTCTGACTAAACGCTGACACAATATAAAATCCTAACCACGCGCCGTGGTGATGGTGGCTGTTTGTTCCGATGAAGAAAGATACACTTTGGGAGGTTAAAGTGGACATGACGTGCTTCTGAGTGCGGTGTCAAGAACATTTATCACACAATATGGCTCATTCTTGTAGACTTAGAACTGATAACTCATCTAAACGATGTTACGAAAGAGACAAAGATAGCAATCAGCAGTTTTTTGATTCGGGCTGGGTGATTACTGTCACAAATTTTAGACACTACATTGCTTCAGAGAATGACAAAACTACTTAATGCCACTAACACAAAGACAAAACAATAAGATTATGTTTTAATTGATCTTATTTCAAACCAGGAAAGTCCTACTCAGATTTCAAAATCTCTTTTTCAGCAGAGTCCTGGTCCCAGAGAGAGGGGAGCTATTGTACATGTTTTAAGTGATAGGGGAAACCGGAGAACGTAGAGGAATCCTACGCAGACGTTGGGAGAACATGCAAACTCCGCTCAGAAAGGCCCATACAGCCCGGGATTCAAACCTAGTAAAGCCTTCTTTTTCACTATTTGTCCTCTACTACATAGGGTAATTTCAAGAAGGTGAAACTTCTTTGTATTTGAAAAATTTTAATAAATAGTGACAGTGACTAAAATAAGTAAAATGTTCTCCGATCCACCAGTTGAGAACCACTGGTGTGAATGACAGCAAGCACGTTATGTCCACTTTAACATAAAACTGCAGTGGTTCAGGAGGGATGGAGTGGTCCGGTCAGGAGAAAGTCAACAAAAAAGTGCCAAGGTAAAGTGATTTTTTCAAGTAACCCGTGCTTTTGGACACAGGTGAGGGAGGGGCTGGACAGGACAGAGGCCCAGGATTCTACTACTGGCTTTTCCTGTGTTCAGTCAGGTCTGTGGGGGGCGAGTCCAGGGGGGGTTCTCCTCGTGCGGCCCGGGACAGAAGCTCCGCCCACTTGGCCTGTAGCTCAGCCTCCGGGAAGCCGAGCAGCAGAGTCTGTTGAGTGTGCGTGAGGCGAAGAGCGTGTTTCACTTCGGATTTGTCCCCCGACGACGGAGAAGCCACGCTGATGTCAAAGCCGAGGAGAGGGACGGTCCGTGCGCCTCTGGACTCCTGAACACACACAGACACAGTTAGCGGGCTCAGGAACAACACTTTTTAATGATTATTCACAAAAGATGGAGCAGTAAATAGAACAGTAAAGAACTACTTTAAAGCTGCACTAACTGACTTTGGGATTTTGAAGCCGTGGACTCTCTGGCCTCTCTCTCTCTGCTCCCCTCCCCGCACCCACGAAGCTATCGCCCCCCACACACACTCACTGTTGGGACGGAGTTAGCGTCTCCCAATATGGATAATACACGAATATGGATTTGCACGTGGATGGCGTGACCATAGAACGATAGAACCGGGAAGCACGGAGGAACGAGACTTTCTTTTGGATGGCTGTCTTGCTGTGTAAGCAGTAACCGGTGACGAAGACACACGAAGTTTCAGGTTAGCTCCTTGGCTTGTTGTGCTAACTCAGCCGTCTATGCTAACAGACCTGTAGATTTCTCACGAAAGTGGGGGCCAGTGGTCCGCTGCGATTGGTCACAATCCGCGACCCGAAACACATTCTCTTCCTTGTTTCATCAAAACTCGATCTAAAATATAATGTCACGCCAGCACAAATCTGCGCTACTTTTTCTTCAAAATGATGTATATCCCAATGCACTACATGGACATGGATAGCATTTTCGTAATGAATACAAAAATAAAGTCAGTTAGTGCAGCTTTAAGTAAACACTAGGACTCCCAGAATTTGTCCAGAACCAGTCCAAACTTTGGAGGAAATGGGTTGAAATGGGTGCCATAGAATGTTGTTTGAATGAATTGAAAGTAGAACTGTTCATGTTTCAAAAATAAAACACAATTTCACAAAATATACATCCAGAAAATGTAAATGTTTGGAAAACCAAAAATGTTCATTAGAGGATAAGTGTGTGTTTGACCCTCTTCTTGTTGATACTGTCCTGTGATATGTGTGTCAGGTACCTGTCCGCTGCTCTGCAGCAACAGCACTAGTGGCTCTGCTTTGGTCACTGCTGCCCAGACTTTAGTCCAGCTCTTTCCTTTGTCCTGCAGCTGCAGCTGACCACACAGCACACAGTTCTCCAGGGTCAGAGACGTCTGCCTCTGCACACAGCCACAACAGGGATCAGATCAGAGTGTATGACCTTCACATGTAATCACTGCCCTCTTATGCTTTGGATAAATGTTACCGAAAACATTATGTGTGCTAGTGCTTTTATTTCGAATCTTAAAGCTGGTATACCTAACTTAAAAACCACAATAATTAACTATGTCAACTATGTTTATAAAAAGATAAAAACAAGGATATTGTGGTTACTTACTTAAACAAGACTCTTTTGGGACAAATGGACTAAAAAAAAGTTACTCTAGCTCTAAGTGCAAAATCTTTATTTCTGAATTTGATTATTAATGTCTGAAATATGGCACAAAAAGATGTCTGTGTGTGTAAACGCTGGAGGTGAGAGCTGATGTGGGATTACCTCTGAACCTCTGCGAGTCAGCTCTAAAGAGGCGCTCAGAGTCTCCAGGCTGAGGCTGGCTTCGTAACACTCAGGACACACACGACTCGTCTTGTTGTCCAGACTCCGGGAGCACTTAGCACAGATGGCCTGCAGGGGGCGACAGGTTACACTCTGCACAAGTCAAGCTCCCTCCTCTACCTCCCTGTCTCAAAGCTACTCTTTAGGCAAGGCAAGGCAAGTTTATTTATATAGCACAATTTATACACAAGGCAATTCAAAGTGCTGAACATATAAGAAAGCATAAATAATCACAGAACATTAAAAAGAAATCCCTCAGCAGTATACACAGCGAAACAGAACCTGTTTTTAACCTGGTTTTAAACATTGTCAGAGAGGAGGCCTGTCTCACATCTTCAGGAAGATTGTTCCAGATTTTAGCAGCATGAATCTGAAAAGCAGCCTCCCCATGTTTAGTTCTGACTCTGGGCACTAACAAGAGTCCAGTCCCTGTGCTCCTCAGAGTCCGGGCTGGTTCATAAGGGACTAACATGTCACTAATATATTTTGGTGCGAGGCCATGGAGAGACTTGTACACAAGCAGAGCTGTTTTAAAGTCTATTCTCTGAGCCACAGGAAGCCAGTGCAGAGACCTGAGGACCGGACTAATATGGTCGTACTTCCTGGTTCTAGTCAGGACTCGAGCTGCTGCATTTTGAATGTACTGCAGCTGTTTTACAGCCTGTTTGGACAGACCTGTGAGCAGGCCATTGCAGTAGTCTAACCTACTGGAGACAAATGCATGGATAAGAATCTCCAAGTCTGCTTTAGACACTATGTTTTTGATCCTGGCAATGTTTTTTAGATGGTAAAAAGCTGCTGCTCTTTACCTCCATATCCCAAAAGCTACCCCCTCCCTCCTCCTGTAACTTCCTCTCCTCCCCCTCCCCTCCCTCCCTGTCTCACTCACCCCTCCTTCCTCGTCTCACTCACCCCTCCAGCCCCTCCCCTCCCCTCCCTCCCTGTCTCACTCACCCCTCCTTCCTCGTCTCACTCACCCCTCCTGCCCCTCCCCTCCCCTCCCCTCCCCTCCCTCCCTGTCTCACTCACCCCCCCTCCCCTCCACTCCCTCCCCGTCTCACTCACCCCTCCTCCCCCTCCCTCCCCGTCTCACTCACCCCTCCACAGGACTTGCAGTGGTGTTTGCGTTTGGTGAAGTTGAAGCTTTCGCCGCAACCTTTACACGTCTGCTTCTCTTTCTCCTTTTTCTTTGAACTTTTCTGAGAAGAGAATGAAACATGAATACTCAATCTCAGTCTCAAAAATGAATACTGCAACATGTTTAGATGTTTTATTTCATCATATTTAGTGTTGGGAAGATGTAGCGAGAATATTCCAAAATATTTACTCTTTTTGGAGTAATTATTTACATTAGATTTTAAACAATTTAAATCTCTACACATGATGAATAGCAATAATCTGTTTGAACAGAACATGTTGTAAAATGTATTTAATAAACTCCAACTGTATATATTTGTAAAGTATGATCAGACTATAACTCACTCTCTCGTGCACGCCTCCCTCTGAGTCCATCAACGTGTTCCATGGGCCCTGTGTGTGGAAAAGAAATCTCATCGTCAGGCTGCATTTCCAACTACAGACCACTAGAGGTCCCTAACACCAACAACCCTCCACAAATCATCTCGACAGGCCACCTGGATGTCACAAGATACCGTCAGAACCCTGTAGCTAAGCAGGACAGAGCCTGGTTAGTACTGTGATGGGAGACCTCTGAGAACACCAGAGGTCTTCCACATTGTCTAGAATGAGTCTTGAGTGAATGTTTTGATCGGAGGGGCTGATGGCACATACTGGTTGCCTCTCATGTCAGTCTACTCCAGGGCAGCTGTGGCTAGAGTAGTAGTTTATCACAACTGTGTAAAGAGAGAAATGTGAAGCGTCTTTGAGTGTCCAAAAATAATGTATTATTTGTATTAGTTATTTATTAATCCACTACTAGAAAACATTAGGTACCCCAACTTTAAACTGGCGGACAGTTACTTTTCAAATTTCAAAGCGCCTATGCTCACTCTGCAGCTTCCTGTACGGTTGACATTATTTCAAATCCTTAAGAAAATCCTTATTATGCAAAGGGGAGGGACAGTTTTATATATTTCATTGTTGGAAAAGACTCATTGTACATAATATTACAGTGTCCCATGGTAAGATATTTAAAAAATGAAATACCATTAGGTTTGTTGACATCCCCTTTAAGTATCAACACTGGCATTATAGACACCTTAAATCCTAAAACCAATGATAAAGTTAATACATATTTGACAAATGATGCGCAGGATAGGCTTTTGAGCTGCTAAAAAAGATCACGTGACCCACCAGTTGAGAACCACGGCAGAAGTAAAGATAAGGAAGGCTGTGTTTTTTTGCAGATATGGGATGTAGCCTGAGTCTCTGGTGAAAGTCCATCAGCGTGTGCAGAAGTGGGTAAAGAGAGCTGTATAAGTCTGTTGTATATACTTAAGCTTTCCCTATTAGGTCATACAGAGGAGAGAGCGGACTCAGACGGACTGTGGAAAGAGTGACTGTCTTCACACTTCCATGGGGGAATGTTAAGTGCAAAAGAAAAAAAAAGGCAATTCTACGAAAAGACTGAAAATGATAAATGTTGTGAGTGACGGAGACTAGGGTTTAATCCCGGGATACGGGATTCCCGGGAAATCTGATGAAAACTATTTCCCGATTCCCGGGAAATGTTATGACGGGAAACGGGAAATGAAAGTTAAAAAAAAATACAGTGCGCTCCTATTATAAAGCACGTTTATTGTTGTTCAACATATTTCATTTACAATCAACATGTCTACAGCTGAGAGGATGGCTCCTAAATTGTGTTTTTGACAACAAATATGGGTCTTAATCGCGCTAAACCACGACTTGTAATGAGGCCAGGCTCAGGGTACGGGGCACATGTGAGGCTGAGCCCAGAATTTGGTTACGTCCAATTCTATCAGAAAGCTCCTTTCTTTTTTTCCATCTGCTAAGGGCAGCAACAGGTTTGGCTAACATCCATATAACACATTTTAAAATCATATAAAATGCATTTAGGGTAATGTTCTGCTTACAATGACGATAGGAATGATAAGGAAGAGAGGAGAAGGGTAAGAAGGTTGATATTAGAAATTGGATGCGCCCGAGAGCCGGCTTCAGCCAGCGAAAACACAGAGGAGTTTATGGAGGTGGCACCCGTTTTGTTTTACGCTTTAAAACTCTTTGGGCTTATTTCCAAATGGGGGATTACATATCTGCGCTCAAACTATTATATGGACTTAAACATGAAACTGGTCTGAACTGAAGTGGTCTGTGCTGTTCATTAATAACTAAGGTAAGACCCATAACACAATTGGAAATGTGCCTTTTACGAACTTTTGCGTTTTGTTTGAGCAAATAATGCGGGCCATGGAAAACATTCTGCTGTAGCCAAACTAATTGTGAATAAGCCGCTTTGTAGGTTCTGTTGATTTATATGATATATGTTCATCTGATTGGGCTGAAGTCAGTGCCTCCAAACCACACGCACGTGGATTTTCGACAAGTGGATTGCGCAGACATTTAGAATCTCATAATAGTGAAATTCCTGAAGAAAGCCCATCAACAAAACGTCTGAAAACGCTATGGCTACTTTAGAAAAGCTAGCAAGTCGCTTGGTGAAACACTAGTGGAGATGGCAGCTTTTGTTGGATTATATATTTGAGTGATATCATACATTACTTGGGCTAAAAACAACAACTACAAACAACAGCTATTTCCCGGGATTTCCCGGGAAAGGCGTCGTCTTTTCCCGGGATATGATACGTCTCATTTTCGGGAAAAATATTAAACCCTAACGGAGACTGACCGGTGAGTCGGGCATGTGGTCGTCCTCTCTGGAGAAGGAGCTGTTGAAGGCCTTGTTGAACGTTTCACTGTTTTGTTTGTGGCGCTCGATAGTGGCCCGGATCACCTGCACAACACCAGGAGAGATTTAAGACACACAACACCAGGAGAGAGACTTATTATCTATACAAAGCCAGGAGAGAGACTTATTACACAACACCAGGAGAGTGACTTATTATCTACACAAAGCCAGGAGAGAGACTTATTATCTACACAAAGCCAGGAGAGAGACTTATTATCTACACAAAGCCAGGAGAGAGACTTATTATCTACACAAAACCAGGAGAGACTTATTACACAACAACCAGGAGAGAGACTTCAGACACACAACACCAGGAGAGAGACTTCAGACACACAACACCAGGAGAGAGACTTATCACAGTAGCATCAGTGAATGTTTATGGTATTTAGTTTTAAAACATAAAAACATATTTAAAGAGCGACTAAGCACTAAATCAACTTTTTTTAACTCATAAACTGCATAAGTATGTTTATTGTAGGGCTGTCTAAATATCCTGGTCATTTTTCTGACATTTTAGTTCAAATTAGATAAAATATCACTTTTGAGCCAAAAAACGCTGTGTGGTGCCCTCTCAACCTTTTTGGTGGTACTACATTTGAATTTGGTTCTGGCCTCTCCATTGACTCTGAAGTTCTCTATGACATCAGTTGTTTTGTGTGACGTCAGTCTGTCAGAGCCAGTGATGTGAACCCATTCAACTCTCACACACACACCCAGCTGCAGTTTGGAGTATTCTGGCGCCATCTAGTGGATTCAAATTAAATTAAATGAGTAATTCTGAGATTATTGAGTGTGATTAGGTTCAGGTGTGTAGCTTTACAATTATCTTAGTGTGTAAACAAGGGTGGAATGAGACTTTCTGGTCTGTAAACTATTGCTTTAAGCAGCAATGACAACTGTCTGTTTTTTTTTGTGTGACAAGTGAGCTGTCAATCACAGCCCAGACCACGCCCAACTCTAAGCCCCCCTTCTTGTCCCTTGGTCCTCCAGGCAACGCCCTTTTTAGAGAAAATTTTCAAATCTTCATGTGGGTGGAGTAAGGCTGGGCACAGGTGTTTAGTTGCTCTTTAAAGTGTATCTTCGTTACTTTTCAAACTGTTAGACCCGCCCACACTCACGCACACAGCTTCCTGATTGGACCAAATTATTAAAATCCTTGTCAGAGCAAAGCCATTGGTCACTATTCCCCTCCAGCCATATGGTCCTGCCCCTTATATATATACACTGACTTTATATAATACTACAGGGTCCTAGGATACATTTATCTCTTGTTTTTATGACATAGACTGGTAGAAAAGGGGGCGGGGTTAAAATACCTACTCATTTACTTCCTCCCACTCCCTCACGTTTTATTCTGTATGTGTGTTGATGCAGCTGCATATTGTTTTCAAGCACATGTATGACATTTGTAGTGAATAATGATAGAAGTTTCAAGTCTTATAGCTTCTAACACAAAAATCTAAATGTGAAAAATATCTTGGACAAGAGAAAATGATTGTGTGTAAAACTTGCCTGGATCCAGTCTTCCTTTTCCTCAGCCGTCCTATGAATCAGAGAAAGAAACAAGACACTATTATGAATCCTGTCCTAGCACTCCTTCTTCTTCTTCTTCTTCTTGCAGTCTTATTGGCGGGTGGCACTCAACTTTAAAGGTGCATTTCCGCCACCTACTGTACTGGAGTGTGAACCAGAGCAAGGCCTAGCACTCGGTTACAGTAATAGTTGTAATAGTGATAGTGATGCTCCTCAACAATAACTCCACATGTAAAGTCTCAGATGTGATCGCAGTACCGTACCTGGCCTGCAGCTCCAGGGAGCGCTGTTTGCCGATGATGGCGAAAGTGTGCGGGACGTTCTGCTTCACGTTCTCCTGCACCTGGAGGACACAAAGAGGAGAGACGCGTGTGAATGTCCAAAATGTACAAGAGTAAGTCCAATAGTGTACGAGAGTAAGTCCAATATGTACGAGAGTAAGTCCAATATGTACGAGAGTAAGTCCAATATGTACAAGAGTAAGTCCAATACGTACAAGAGTAAGTCCAATATGTACAAGAGTAAGTCCAATACGTACAAGAGTAAGTCCAATACGTACAAGAGTAAGTCCAATATGTACAAGAGTAAGTCCAATATGTGCAAGAGTAAGCCCAATATGTACAAGAGTAAGTCCAATATGTACAAGAGTAAGTCCAATATGTACAAGAGTAAGTCCAATACGTACAAGAGTAAGTCCAATACGTACAAGAGTAAGTCCACTACGTACAAGAGTAAGTCCAATATGTGCAAGAGTCAGAGTAAGTCCAATATGTATAAGAGTAAGTCCAATATGTACAAGAGTAAGTCCAATATGTACAAGAGTAAGTCCAATACGTACAAGAGTAAGTCCAATATGTGCAAGAGTAAGTCCAATATGTACAAGAGTAAGTCCAATATGTACAAGAGTAAGTCCAATATGTACAAGAGTAAGTCCAATATGTGCAAGAGTAAGTCCAATACGTACAAGAGTAAGTCCAATACGTACAAGAGTAAGTCCAATATGTACAAGAGTAAGTCCAATATGTACAAGAGTAAGTCCAATATGTACAAGAGTAAGTCCAATATGTGCAAGAGTAAGTCCAATACGTACAAGAGTAAGTCCAATATGTACAAGAGTAAGTCCAATATGTACAAGACTAATCTGGGAACTATCTGATGAGTAAGAAAACACCATCTACATCAGGGGTGCCCAAACACAGACTTGTGATCGCAAATACTGTAATTTATCCTGAGAAATTACCAAAACTCATGTAGGGTCTGTACTTTTGCTTTAAAAGGCAAAATAAACGCTCAGAGAATGATGTCATAGTGGTACAATGAGGTCACATGACAGGAGCTTCGACAGAAGAGGTGCAGTTACATGTTTTTGCCAGAAGTTCCTGATAGGGTGGCTGGAGCTAAAAACAACCCACCGATCAGTTTTGATGAGGGAACAATGTCGTAACATGGTTAAAAACCTCAAAAAAGTTGATTTTGGTATAATAATAGGTCTTCCTGAACATGGGACCTCCTGTTTTACATGTTGTTATGACATGGAGTATATTATTATGCTGTCTCCTGGTCTGTTTCATGATGTGATGATGGGACCCCTGAATCCGGTCTCTTTCATCTGCACCTGTGGACTGTCTCCCCCCGGGCCCAGACTCGTGGGCTGCACCCCCCTCCCCGCCTGAGGGCCTCTTCAGTCCTTGTTCTACAGCCTGATGGTCAACGTGGGCCTCCTCAAGTTTTATCACTTTATTCCCACTGGGTCGTTTTTTCCAAATGCAGGAGGGTCTAAGGACAGTGATGATCCAGGATATTTAACCCTTGAGCCATGTGTTTACAAAACGCCCTAAATCATTTTCTTTTTCCTGAGCTGAATTGTGATGACTTGTCTTAAAACTTGACAAGCACCGGGTCATTTTACCATTTTAAGGTGTCTTTCTTCTACTCTAAAATCACTGTGGCAGGACATTTTGGCCTGAGGATTTATTAACCTTTGACAGTTGTCATTCTGCTCCCTTTGGACCAATGGCTCATATGTGTTTGTTATTATTGCATATTATCCTGTGTTTGAACCGTTCTCTGATCTGCTGTCGGAAAATCAACAACTTTGTGAAGTCCTCCGAGGCGACTGTTGATTTGATTTAGAGCTATAGAGAAATAAATGGAATTGAATTGAGTTTGTGATAATGGGTATAACACATATAAATGAATAGTTATCAAAAGATTTATGGGAATTTTGACACGTGGTTAGACTTTAACTTGCGACAGTGTGAGTTTTATTTTGTACAAATACAAATCATGTAAAAGAGAAGATCCGTGTTGATTCTCACCTCCATCCCTGCGATGTCAATTCTCTCACGGACACTGAACTTCTGGCCCATGAGCCGCAGCTTGGGAACGCAGTACAGAACCATGTTGTTGAACTGGAAAAGAGAGAGTGCGCGCTCAGTACAGGAAGTACAAAGTGAGTAATCTTTATTTATATAGCGCATTTTTACAGACCTCCCCCAAAGCGCTTTACAATGTTCAGAGTTCAGATATAGAAGCACAGAGACAGAGACTGACCACATAGAGGTATCGGTCCTGGGCGGTCCCGTTCTTCGCAGACATCTTCTTGATATGACCCTCCTTGATGAGCTCGTTGGCCGGGTTCACGATGTCCTCCTCCCCCCCCAGGCGCTCGTACACCTCCAGCAGTTTGTGCATTTTCTCCTGGAAAAATCACAAAGAAAAGGTAAATGAACTACACCCAGCATTATCTACAGATACAGTAGGTGGAGGACTGTGAGATGTGAGCGGCCTGTTCTGGAGGTTCTTTATGAATCCAGACTATTAAACCTTAAAATAATCAATCAAGAATCAAAAGACACACAACATCAGGAGAGAGACCTATTACGCAACACCAGGAGAGAGATGTAAGACACCCAACACCAGGAGAGAGATGTAAGACACACAACACCAGGAGAGAGATGTAAGACACACAACACCAGGAGAGAGATGTAAGACACACAACACCAGGAGAGAGATGTAAGACACACAACACCAGGAGAGAGATGTAAGACACACAACACCAGGAGAGAGACTTTTGAGCGGCCTGCTCTGGAGGTTCTTTATGAATCCAGACTCTTTAACCTAGCTCAATGATTCCTCTGGCCCCAGGAAAAGCCATGTTCCAGCTTCTTCCTCTGGCAGAAGATAACCAGAGGAAGAAGATATCAAAAAAGAAAAAAACACCCTAACCAATTAGTTTATTTTGACTTCATATGAAAATATGAAAATTGCAAGATTATGTATCACCAAATGGATATTTTCTGCTTATAATGATTTCAATTCGAATTGCTTTATTTTTGGGGTCCCAAAAATGGGGGTTGCTTTGTATCGGCATCTATGCATTTAACTGGAAGAGTTCAAGAGCGAAACTCGAAGCAGGAAGCAGCAGTTTCCTGTCTGAAGTTCACCTCTTCACACGTGTTGACAGCAAACACGCAGAAGAAGCAACAAGCTGCAGTGAAGACTAAAGAAGTGGATTTTCTTATGCTCCACTGAAATAATATGAATTAATAATGTCAGTTATACATTGTCATTTGCAGAATTGTCAGTTTTAAATGGTCAAATTGCAATTTTTCTACCCAACCGACTATATATTTACAAAGTAGCATTGTGTTAACTGTGCATGCAATCAAACTAATTAGGGAGAGGTAAAAAACAAATACATGAAACAATTAACTAATACACAAGTCCCACACATAACCAAAAACACTGTAGAGACCAATGACAGTATTTTGAAGTTTCATTTGAGAGCATTTTCACTTTTTAAAGCTGGGGTACCTAACTTTCAAAGCACAAACTACGTAATAAAATCCATGGCACTCGTTCCTCAATCTCAAAACAGTTTGGTTCTATCTCTAGTCTTTCCCTCTGTCACTTCAGTCGATCAGCAAAAGAGAGGACCACGCTCACTCAAATCATCATCATCAAAACTTTATTACAGACTCAGGGTCCAGGATAAGACCAATCATCTAATAAACTAAATAAATAAAAAATAAATATTACGCAATTTTTTGGGCCATGAAGAATGAAAGTGAGACTATTAACTTTCATGTATCTAGTATCTTCAGTAGAACATACTTGGGGAAACAGACAATGCTGTCGGCCTGCACTCAGCCAAATGTGTGAAGTCAGTGAAGGGAAATGCTGCTAAATGCAACAACAACAGACTTTTCAAACACTAAACTCGCAAATGATTGGATCGTGATAGTTGCTGTGGCCGGACCACAGTGTGAGCGTGAACCGTGGTGCGATGGGACTCACCATTTTCCTGATTGCTGCGTTGGAGTGGTTAGCAGCAGTGGAGATGAGCTCGAGAGCCTCTGTAACGCAACACACACACACACACACACACACACACACACACACACACACACACACAGAGTCAGAGCAGAACAACACAGACTGGACACACACACACATGTATCTGTGTTTATGCATGCATGTTTTAGACATAGACCACAGATTAAGATTAAGATTAAGATTAAGAGATCCTTTATTCGTTGGAACAGTAGGAATGAGGAGCACACAACACAAGATACATGAATAATAACTCTACACTAAAATGAAATTAAATCTCTAACTCTAGCATAAAAAGAAGCAGTATAAAATCTATATCTTTAGCATAATGTTAGCCTGGCCTTAGCCATCCGTACTCTCCGCTCAATCATCATTTCACTGCATGTAACGTCTGGGTCTGGTCCCTGTGTTAGCGATTACAATCGGCTGAATTTCAACCGACAAGTCAGAGAGCGCGGGAGGCGGGAGTTCTAGTTAGTTGTGGGTCATGTCAAGAGTTTTTGTCGAACGGGAAGGTTGTAGTTTGGCAATGGCAAAAAATGTGATAGTAAAGTAATCCGGTCTGGTTCTATCAAGAAATTGAAACCGAAGCAAGAGGAATGTTAAGGAAATGTAATTTCTGGAAAAAATTGTGGTGCTACTCCCCACGAGCTCCGTTAGCGGCAAAGGAGATGGCTAGGCTAAATGCTAAAGGCTAACGACACACTCGGGCGCATTACATACGTCACAGTGAACTCAGATCCAATCGTTTCAATCTGCAAAAGGAGTTAACCCCTCCCACCTGTAAACGGAGCTCAATGGAGCACCTCCAGCCCTTTGTACCAAATGTAATTTGTACTATGGTGTGGTACGACCAGGCTAGCATAATGAAGAAGTAAGACTTAAGTACAGTGTTAGCAGCAGTATGTTTATATCTGTACATGTTAGCAGCAGTATGTTAGCATCTGTACATTAGCAGCAGTATGTTAGCATCTGTACATTAGCAGCATGAGGGTCTGGGACAAGGGGACTTGACATTGACAGATGTGGTTCTAAATTGCCCATTCTGACATCAGTTCAAGATATTGCACCGATGCATGACATGTGAGGTGAGGTCGGCTGTGTTTCCGACCTGACCTCATTGTTTGTTGTACAGTCTGACAGCAGCAGGAGGTAAAAAGCCGAAAATGTAATCTGTACTTTAACCTTGTCTGGTGCACACTGGGGACTCATATTCCAATGTGGTTTTACTGCAATTGGCGAATAAAATGAATCTGAATCTGATCTGGATTCAAGTGGATCTTTAGGGGCAGATGCAAACTCACGCGTTGCTAACATGGTTGCTAGGGTGAGCTGGAGTTTGCCGTGTGCGGTGAGCTGTGTGCGTGGCTTACTCTCGGCGTCCTTGCGGTCCAGAGCGTCCGGCGGCAGTTTCTTCAGATAGTCTTTGAGCAGCAGCTCGTAGCGCGGGATCCTCTGCACCGGCTCCAGCATGTGGTGCTGCAGCGTCAGGTTCCCACACACCTCCTGCTTCTGCAACACACAACATCACACAGGACTGAAACTACAACTACTGGATATTTGTATTTTATTGTTACCCTCAGTTTTATTCCAATATATGACACTTTATTTTCACTCTTGCAATTTGGTGTCCTTCTTTCATTCCACCTTATGACATTTTCTCTCTTTAGCAAACTGCTATTTGTAAAAGTTCAAAAGTGACAAAGATGGTTTGGCCCAGGGCTTATCAGTAAGTTGAATTTCTTTTATTTTGATCTCCACTAGCCGAGTACATTAACGAAAATACACATCTGGCATGGATAGATAGAATCGAGATTGTGCAAACATGTAAAATTTAGGACATATTATGTACAATAAAAAGTGGCAATCAAGAAACAGTAGCTGCGTTTCCATTGAGCATCAAATTTCGAAATTTGAATTTGCGCATCATAAAATGTCTAATGGAAACGCGCAAATTTCGAATGAACCACAGTTTTTCGATAAAAAGTTAATGCGCTTAAAATAGGTGGTTTTTTGGACGTATTGAAATTAAGTTTTTCGCAAAACGGCAATGGAAACACTTATTTTGATATAGCGGAGGAAGCCGAGCTGCTTTATTCAGTGAGTTTTGGCTGCGCTTCGTGTGGAGACTTGGGAGATACGTGGGAGAGGCATGGGGGAGAGACGGGGAAGAGACGGGGGAGAGACGGGGGAGAGGCATGGGGGAGAGGCATGGGGGAGAGGCATGGGGGAGAGGCATGGGGGAGAGACGGGGGAGAGGCATGGGGGAGAGGCATGGGGGAGAGGCATGGGGGAGAGGCTGGGGGAGACGGGGGGAGGCATGGGGGAGAGACGGGGAAGAGACGGGGAAGAGACGGGGGAGAGGCATGGGGGAGAGGCATGGGGGAGAGACGGGGGAGAGGCATGGGGGAGAGGCATGGGGGAGAGACGGAGGAGAGGCATGGGGGAGAGGCATGGGGGAGAGGCATGGGGGAGAGGCATGGGGGAGAGGCATGGGGGAGAGACGGGGGAGAGGCATGGGGGAGAGGCATGGGGGAGAGACGGAGGAGAGGCATGGGGGAGAGGCATGGGGGAGAGACGGGGGAGACAGGCAAGACCCGCGTCTATGGTCTACCCTAACCTCTAAGTACTACCCTAAAAAGCATGTTCATCACTCGCCGCGGGGTTGATTTGTGGAATGAACTCGAGGAGGACTTGAAATGTTGTAACTCACTGATTAACTTTAAACAAAAGTACAAAGAAAAGGTATTTAGTAACTATGCTATAGAAAATGAAGTGTAAATCTATACTACAAAAAACTATTCTTTGACTCTGAATTATATTTGTTTTTTTTGGTATTTTGTGTATATATATATATGTATATATATATATATATATATATATATATATATATAATATATATATATATAATATATATATATATATAATATATATATATATATATATATATATATATATATATATATATATATATATATATATATATATATATATATATATATTTTTTTTTTTTTTTTTTTTCTCTCTCTCCTTTGCTAGATCTTTGTTTGTTTTCTTATTGTACACGCAACTTGTGTTCTATGATGTATGCATTTAAATTAACTTTACCACTGTCTGTAACAACGCAATTGTTGTCAAGAAAAAGAATATGAGAAAGGGGTAAGCATTAACAAGTTTTATACTTCTGCTTACTCCTTTTGAGCTTTTCTGTGTGCCTTGCTTTATCATTGCATACAGCGCAAATTATGCCTGTTTGTTCATTGTTTTTTTTTATGTCTTTTTACACAAATAGCTCAAATAAACTAAATGAAATGAAATGAAATGGTCCGCGCTCGGTACATGACCACGGCGTTCGCGGAGCTGTCAAAGCAGCCACAGTTTCTCCCGGGGTCAGAGAGGATGAGAGCCGCAGCAGAAGTCAAGACATTAATATATCTCACGTAAATCAAAGTGTTGTTTACTTCTGTTGCCATGTTGACGTACTAGAAACTAGTGAATAAACGCGCGACCATAGTGTATACTTATTCGAATATGTCTTAATGGAAACGACCGCTTTTGCGAATTACAGGTTTTTCGAATTTTGAAATGTATCGAAAAAGTTTTTGCGCATTATTCAATGGAAACGCAGCTAGTGTCAATAGTAGTGCAGGTTTTTCAGTCCAAATGCAAGTGACTTAAAGTGACTTATTGTACAGTTTGACAGCGGTGGGGAATATAAGAAAAGTAAAGAAAAAAAGTATTCAGAATTGCACAGTCAGACACACACACACACACACACACACACACACACACACACACTCTCTCTCTGCACTATAGTGTCACCTGTATGTTTTGCACCACGCTCTTGAACTGGGATGAGCGCTGAGTCCAGGTGTTGACCAGGTCCATGGCCCGGTCAAAGTTCTTCACATATTCACCGTACATCTTCATGAACGGAGCCAGCTTCTGGAGAATGTCCCCGATGCGCGGGTTTGAGTCCCTGCACACAACACACAACACACATGTAAGGGTTATGGAAAACACACACACACCATCAACCACATCACCCCTGTGCTATAACAACTCCAATCACCCTCCGCATGCAGCACAACATCCTGCTTCTCACTTTCAAAGCCATCCACAACCTCCCCCCTCTATATCTCTCAGAGCTCCTCCACATCCGCACACCTGAGTAAGTAAGTCACATGTATTTATATAGCGCCTTTCCGAAGTCACAAAACGCTTTACAATTGTTGTGGGCATTTGTCTCTTACTCCACACAGAGATGGGAGCAAAAACGCCATACAGGAGGGGCATGCCAGACCTATTCTACATGTTTTTTTAGTGGTAGGGGAAACCGGAGCACCTGGAGGAAACCTACGCAGACACAGGGAGAACATGCAAACTCCAGACAGAAAGGCCTGGTGGTGGGATCGAACCCAGGCCCTCCCTCCAGCGTCCAATGCCTCCTGCTCACCACGTTCTGTTCCCCAGGCCTGGAACACCTCCGCAGCACTAAAAACACATCTGTTCTGCTCCATTCACTCTGACGTCACATTCCACGGTTTATTTTTTACTGTACGCGTTTAACTGCTTTTTGCTGTTAACGTTGTACCTTTTGTAGGCGATCTTGAGAGCCAAGAGAGGCATCATATAAATAAAATATATAACGTTATTATTATTATTATTGTTATAGAGACCTCCTGCAGACCACACACATGTATACCTATGATTTCTGAGAGTTTCACCCCATAAAGGACTGTCACTATGTAAAGAACAATTTACTCGATGATAAAATGTTGCATATTTCCAAATCCTGTCCTTGAGATGCAGGACTCTTCACCAGACGAATAGTTTCTTTCCGTAGACTGTTACCAGAAAGAACGGACCTCTTTAAATTGGATGATCTAGCACTTTATTCTTTTAGTATGAGCTTGTTTTTAAATCTTCATTCCCTGTATGACTTTGTTGTTGTGCCAATTTTGTGTGAATATTCTGCAAGGGCAATATTTTAGAGATGCACAATTTAACTTGTTGAAATGATCATATCACAAGAGCTGTGTGTAATCTTAGTCCTTTGCAAAAACCACAAGCCACAAAAAATAACATCAATCTAATCTACTGCATTCAAGAAAATGTCTCTTGATTTCAGTATTCTGTCTTTGAGTGGCAGAAATTAGTATTTGTCAATACAAACAGTAACTATACATTCTTACTGAATAGATCTTTCTCACTATAGTTTACAAACTTTATTCTGAAATATTGGAATCTTGTATTATTTTTTTTTCACATAGTAAATGTTAGCTAATTGGTTGCGTTCATGATTTTCAGCACTTGCCAACACCGCTACATGAGAATTAGGGCTGGGAAAACAAAATTCGATATTCGAACATAATTCGAACATAACAAAAAATAATAACATTTGAACAAATATTAGAGAGATTTATGATTCAAACATTAAACTGTCATAGTTTTTGTGTGTATTAGGAGCAAATGTTGATTTTTTGCTTCAATAACAGACAGCCATGCTGTTTTAGAACCGGTCAGAATATTGTTTTTATCTGTCCGCACAGAGCGTGTGGATGTGCGACTGCCGGAGCCAGTTATTACACACTTGTTTATAAGAAAAGTGAAGCCATCTGATTTAGAATAATAATATAACAATCAAATTCAAATATGATTTTTGAGTTTAAGTCCCAGCCCTAATGGGATTGAAGGAATTTGAGACCATATTTGATACGCACTGACAATAAAGAGCTGGACCTTTATTTTAGGATTGAGATATATTTGCTCTAAACTAAGCCCAGAAGTAAGATTTTTTTGACAGTTCCAGGACAGATTTTTCAGCTGCACTCCACCACAATGTAAAATGATTGGCTGTCTGAAATGTAGTGATGTCACATGAATGCAACTTCATGCAAAGTTTGTTCTGGTAAAATTGCAATTAAATATTTTGGCAAAATTGTACAGCCCTATATGTCTATATACTGTCTGCACGTTTCACTGTGTTCCCTGTTTATAGAACCAAACCACTTCGGCCTCATATTTCACTGTGGATCCCCCTCATCGGAGCCTATTCCCGCCCTGACAGTGATCCTGACAGTGATCCTTATAGTGATCCGCGGCCCTCAGCCCCACAGCTGTCCCGGGGTAATGGCCCTATGCGCAGGGTCTCACCACTCTCCGGTGATGCGAGTCTTGAGCTCAGGGAGGAGGAACTGGTCGTGGAAGCAGTAGATGGAGGAGATGTTGGAGAAGATGCCCGTAATGACGTCCTGAGGGATTCCAGCTTCTGTCAGCTTAGTGCAAAACACCTGCAGGGAACAACAGCAGAAAGAGAGCGAGTCAGCACATGTGAACACTGCTGGAGGCTGTTTGCACTCTACGGGCTGGCTACAACAGTCGTGGCACACTTTAGCCCCGTTTCCACCAGCCCAATTGGCTCTACTCTACTCTACTCGGCTCTACTCTCTCCTGAATGGGAGTGTTTCCACCGGCAATGTTTAACCAGAACCAGGTGCTTTTGAAATGACCTGCTTGGCCCTGGTTCTATCCAGGCCGAGCTGGTACGAAAGGTTCTAAGTGCTAGTGATTGGTGTGCTGCTATGGTTACAGTGGAAAATTTTGTGGGATACAGTACCAGATCCTAAAGCCTAATGGAAACACTGGCAAGTAGGGCTAGTGGAAACAGGGCTTAACTGACAGGTCAGAGTTCTGCCAGACCAATAAATTGTGATTTTATGATTTAAGTCTTGTGAGGACTGCATCCAATACATAATACGGTAACTCATTTTTACAGCTATTGGTCACACAAACCTTTTTTTTTTTTATTGTGGACCAAGAATTACAGCAATATTATCATTATGTCACCGAAAGCATCTCCAAGAAGAAAGGAAAGTCTGTATTTGTAAGCAAGATCTCACTCTTTGACTAATTAACGCTTCGTGCTGAAAGCTAATTGGCTGAGGAGGGTGGTTCACTCTTTTCCACTTTTCTCTCCGAATAAGCTGATCGAAGGATGTGACAGGTGTCAAAAACATGCATGTGAAAGATAATGATAGAAGCAAACTGTTTTGAGAGCGAGAAACTAGTTAGACGTATCATAGTTTAAGTTAGGTACCCCAGCTTTAAGAGTCACACTGCACTAGACAAATTGTGAGGCTTCTTCATTAAGAGAGCATATTACTCAAATCACATTTTCAGTGCTGCAAAAATCACCAAGTCTTTTATCAACAACAGATCAATGTCTTGCTCAAACTCGAAGATCAGAGAAATATAACTCTGAGTTAACAGTCAAAGAGAAGAGTGCCTCGTGTGCACCATGGGCACGCTGGTGTTTCCACAGAAACTGGTGCATCTTGAAGCCCTTTGACACAAACAGGAAGCTCAGCATCAATCTGCCCTCACAGATAAACCAGCGCTGCACCACACTGAACAAAGAGGACTACACACACACACACACACACATGACACACTGAACAAACATGCAGCTCTTGTGTTTTTGCTCACATACTGAAAATGTATACACCAAACAGAACACACAGATATTGTTCACAACTCTATCTGACACCCCCCCCCCACACACGCAACAACACACACACCCACAGAGGAAACAGCTTGCTGATTGGACAGTGTGAAGACTGCACAGGTGCCAGAGGAGGACCACAGTAAATAAACACTATCATGGGGGTCTGCCAGGGTCAGTATCTGGGTGCGACATCATTTGCTCGCGCAGTGCCACACTATCCTTCCTTCACAGTTGGTCCTGGTCGGTGGATTGTGGCCTGTGGCAATCTTGGCCACACCTCTTCCGTGTTGCTTGGTCGCACGCTGTTTGCATATTGGCCAGAAACTGGAAACTGTCTGTTTGGTATACAGTGATTCCACAAGCATCCTATAGACCGGTCGCTTGATAGGGAAGGGCTCTAGGGGACAAAGTTGCTCTGCGGGCTCCATTTACGATAAAATTAACACACATATCGAAGCGCGAGAACTCAACGTCGCCTATGCTTCAGGATGAGAATCCCAGTCTTCGCTGCTGCAGGTCGCAGATGCGCAGTCAGTGAGTTGTGGCGTGAGTGGTGTAATTGATGTCAAGCATATGTTTATGGGACAATTGCACGGGAACTGAATTAGACTGTGGTCAAGCCTCAGGCACCTGTGGCGGTCTTCATAACCCGCCTCTTTCATATACGCTACCACCATGTGAGGTTGAAATGAACCATCACTCAGCAAAGAAGAAGCTCTCACTGAAACAGATTTCTGATGGCATATGGGTCTCCAAGCATGGACTGCAGTTGGTCTCTTGTCCTTCCACACTCTTCTCCTTTGAGCTCAGCCTGAAGCCAGACCTGTGGCCTCATGGTTTACGCCGCACCACCAATCACGAGTTCTTGATTTTTTGTTTTTTCTTCTGTTTTTTCTAAAGTAAAGCTACACTTTTTTCATTTGATTACTTTTGTATTCAATTAATGTATACAACTTGAGGATAGTGCATCCTTTATTTTTATTTTGTATGTAAATTTATTTTCCAAAACCGGATTTGATGTCTACGGTTTAGGGCAACGGTCACATAGGTTTATACAACCGAACGGGCCAAGTGGCCTGGGGTGTGAAAAAACGGCCCGCGGTCACATGAACGTGTTTTTGCAAACGTGCCAGAGTAACTGTGCTGTAATACAACACTCGGTCCAGCTGAGTGGCGCTAATACTAACTCCAGCTGTCTGTCTGAGTTGTGTTTGCGTTTCTCTTCCTGTTTACGCTCTGGCTACTGTAGCTAAATGCTACTGTAGCTAAATGCTACTGTAGCTAACTGCTACTGTAGCGAACAGCTCAGTACGGATCATGTTGTTTAGGAAAGACATATCTTACACTTGTCCACATTGCTCTGATGCAAAGAGCAGCAGTTCAGTGGGTAACATGTGTGTGCACGTGTGTGTGTGCACTTGTGTCCGCGGCGTGCGCGCACACACACACACACACACACGTGCACACACATGTTACCCACTGAACTGCTGCTCTTTGCATACTCTTTAGTAACCGAGCGTAAGAGCACTGAGAAAACAAATGAATGAGAATGAAAGAATGAAAAGTTTGGCGTACGAGCAGAGTGACCGGAGCCGGAGGATACAAGTGTGTGTGTGTGTGTGTGTGTATGTGTGTGTGTGTGTGTAGTGTTCTGGCGATTAAAAAAGTCTGATTCTTGAATGTCTGAAGTCTTATTGCAATAGCACCACACTGAGATCAACCAATGCACTTTGCAGCCTGGATATATTCACAAGGGCACTAACGGCACAGCACTAGTATTAAATAACTCTCCATACAAATTATACAAAACAAGTAAGTTTTTTTTTTTGGATGAGGACTAATCATAAAAATCATTGTTGACCCGACAACAACTAAAAATGGGAACATAAATCTCTAAGCGCTGTGTTTTTATGTGTATATCCGGTGCATATAAACAAATCGGCCCCAAGAATAAATCTAGACATTCTCTACAGTGAAACTTGTTTTCTTTGTTGTACCTGTTCACCTCCGTGTAGTGAAACTAAGGTGAGAGATACGATTTTTAGTCTAGCACATTTACTTACTTTGCATAGCCATGGTATGTTTGCGCATACCCGTGCACGCTTTTCTAATGTGAGCGTCAGCCTCAAATCGACTATCTCCTAGACTTAACTCAGCATGACAAGGTGTATATATATTTGTACAGTAATATAATGTCCTTGGCGTTAGGGAGAATAAGAATAGGACTCTCAATTGGATTTGATCTAAGCAAACTTAGCGTTGAGTGACAAAGCTCTAGAGTTGTTCAGGTAGAACTTGGTAATTTTTGTTATCAAGCGAGAGATTGTGATTGTAATTAGTGCTAGATGTCCTGTTTAGTTTACGCCGACAATGGGTGTTTTATGGATCAAGTGTGATCTTAAGCCCGATGCGACTGCCCGAGTGAAGCCTACCAAATGAGGGAAAGTTGCGCCATGGTTGAGTCTGTGCTGGAGAGGTTTGGCTTGCTTAAAGGATGTGGTTACTGTCCCTACTGCGACAGTGTTATCCAAACCTTTTACGGCGTTTGGCACTATACTCTTTGCCGTAAACACACTGCGCCACGGCACACCTGCAGTCCGTGTAAAAGCGTTTTATACACAAAATATGACACTCTGCAGTCTGGTTGGCTTAGACCAATGGAAAGTCCCGGATGGTGAGATTCAATAAGAGCCTTATCTGCTTGTCTGCTTCTTTCTCATCAATCTGTTGTTTATAGTGAGAGCTTATCTATCGTGTTGTGGTGCCCGCTCTTTCCTGACGTGTTGCGGTAACTTGTGGATGCTAACACTGAAAACGTTCCCCACTGTGGGACAAATAGAAACATCCTCTCTTTCTCTTAAGCAAACACCTCATATAAACTTATGTGCACATCCCCGATCGTCCTCTCTCACTACACTGCAAAAAGTGATGAAAAATAAGTCAAAAAATAAATAAAAATTAGCAATACATGTTTCTTAATTTGAGCACGTTTTGACGGCCTTAAAACAAAACTTGCCAATGGGAAAAGCCAAACTGAAAATTGCTTAAACAGATACAAGAAATGTCTCCCTTGGAATAAGTCTAAAATGTCTTTGGTCCCGGTTTGGCTAATCTTGTTTTATAAGACAGTCAGCAATGTGCTAAAAATTAAGATAAAAAACACTTGATTCAAGCAATTATTACCACATATTTTAATCACTTTTTACAGTGTACTGGCTGTATTATTATTAAACTTCCGAGGGACAGCGTGTTGTTTTGATGTATCTTTTTAGACGTATGCTACAGTCCAGGCCTGTTTACTTCAGGGGCACCGTTCCTCACCTACCTCCCATGTCTCCCCCATTACGACTCCCTCAATCACCTTCCAATGGACCCGGCTTGGGTCCCCCCCGCTACATCCACTCCATCTAGGGAAAATGAGGACACCTTTCCCTTTGTTTTCTATCCCGCGGATTTACCGGAACACACTCTGCAGGCATGATAAGATCGGCCAATGAAGACTAATTCCTCTCACACCCTTAGAGATCAAGAGTCCTATCTAACATTCAAAAAACTACTCCCCATACGTACCTCCAAAGCCACCTAGGCGTCCCAACTCAATTCTCCCACAAAAGTCCACCCGTCCCTCCTCTAACCCCATAAGTATTCCACCCCCCCCTCCTGCTCATTTAGCCCACCTCCCCCCCCCCCAACTCAGCACCAAGAAACCCTCCACCTCCACTCCCCCCTCGTCCACCACCCAACTCAGCCTGCCCCTCCCCTAACCCATCACCAAAAACCCATCCACCTCCCTGCCCCCCTCGTTCAAACCCCAAAAGCCACCCACCTCTCCATCCTCCCCCCCGCCTTCCCCTACCCCTCTTTTCTCTAAACACTAGGATGCACAGGGTCTCTGCTTCGCAGCCACTGGCAGTCTAGTTAGAGGAGAGACCCGGCTGGGGCCCTGTCATGAAGCCACCTGTGCCATTCCCTTAGTGATAACACAAAGAATACATTACAGAAAAACATCTGGAGTTAATCAGTCTAATCTGAAAATCTAATTCTTGTTCCGTGTAAGAATCAGCCGACCGCAACCGCTGATACTGAAACTTTGAAACTTGCTACGCTTAATGTCAGATCTCTTTGTAACAAGTCTTTTTTAATCAATAATTTTATTTCTTCTCATAATCTTGATCTTATGTTCATGGCTGAAACTTGGCTTGACCAAAATTCAGAAAATGCAGTTTTAATAGAAGCATCACCACCAAATTTCAAGTTTGAATCTGAAATACGGGAAAACAAAAAAGGAGGAGGCTTAGCTGCCATTTTTAGAGACCACTTTGTCTCCCATAGAATGTCTCTTGGGAAGTTTTCGTCATTTGAATATGTGTCTTTTAAAATACAACAAAAACAATCTCCTCCAATACTCTTCGTTGTCCTATACAAGCCACCGCAGTCATGTCACAGTTTTCTTGATCATTTTACCGAGTTGCTTTCAGTTGTATGCACAGATTTTGATAGTTTGGTTATTACAGGTGATTTTAATATTCATGTGGATAATGTTGATGACAGAAATGCAAATGAGCTGAGTTCTGTACTTGAATCCTTTGATCTCTCACTCAGCACGTAAGTGGCCCCACCCACAGCAGAGGGCACACTCTAGATCTGTTAGTTACAAAGGGGGTGATTATTTCAAATGTAAACGTGGTCGATGTTGCTCTTTCGGATCATTTCTGTGTTTTTTTTGACATGTGTTTTCACTAACAAACCACCAGTGGACTCTGCAACTGTTCGAAGAAGACACATAAATGAAAATACGGGTGAACTATTTATGGGAATGATAAACTTTGAGAATGCATCGTATTCTACTGTAGATGAACTGTTTAACTCTGTCACCTCTAGTGTTTTGAATGTTCTGGATACCGTTTTGCCCCTGTGAAGGTTAAAAATAGTGAAAAATAAGCAGAAGGCGCCGTGGGGCTAAGCAGACTCGGTCAGGGCACAAAAGAGAAAGTGCCGGAGGGCCGAGCGGAAGTGGCGCAAGTCCAACCTCCAGGTAGATTACGAGATCTTCAAAGATAAGTTGTGCGAGTTTAACCGGTGCTACGTAGTACGAGAGAAAGGTATTTTTCTGAAATGATTGAAGGCTGCAGCAACACAACTGCGTGTTCTGTTCTCAACAGTTAATAGATTAACAAACCCCCCTGTTCAAATGCCATTAGAGCTTACTTCCAAACGTAAATGCAATGAGTTTGCTAATTTTTTTCAATGACAAGGTTCAAGGCATCAAAAGCGCCATTGTCTCCAATCCACAGATAACCATCCAACAGCCAGAAAGGCTCTCTGAGCTAACTCACTTTGCACCTGTAAATGATAAAACTGTCCAAGAGATAATCTCCAGTTTGAGCTCCTCCACATGCAGCCTGGATGTACTACCCACTAGATTTCTGAAGTCTGTTCTGAGCAGTCTGTTACCTTCACTCACACAGATAGTAAACATGTCCCTTCATTCTGGAATATTCCCAAAGGCCCTGAAAACTGCAGTCATCAGGCCCCTGCTAAAAAAGAGCAGTCTGGATGCCACTGTACTTAACAACTATCGTCCCATCTCAAATCTGCCATTTATGGGGAAAGTCCTTGAGAAAGTTGTCTACCTACAGCTTACTAGATTTCTTATAATCAACAACTCATTTGATATGTTTCAGTCCGGCTTTAGACCCCACCACAGCACTGAGACTGCTCTCGTTAAGGTTACAAACGATATCCGGCTGAACACTGACGCAGGCAAAGTCTCAATCTTAATCTTGTTAGATCTAAGTGCTGCCTTGACACCGTCGACCATGAGATCCTCTTACAGAGACTAGAGGACTGGGTTGGCGTCACTGGCACCGCCCTAAGTTGGTTTAGGTCTTACCTTGAAGACAGGAAGTACTTTGTGGAGATTGGAAACTGTGTCTCAGATCATATGGCCCTGACCTGTGGAGTCCCACAGGGGTCGATCCTGGGACCTCTTCTGTTCAATCTCTACATGCTGCCGTTAGGTCAGTTAATACGCAGAAACAAAGTTTCCTATCATAACTATGCAGACGACACTCAGATCTATGTCTCACTGACTGCAGGAGAACATGGACCAGTGGACTCACTCCTTCACTGTATCCAACAGATCAGTGAGTGGATGCAAAACAACTTCCTTCAGCTAAACGCAGACAAAACTGAAATGATTGTCTTTGGTCCCCAGAAACAAAGAGAGAGCGTCATCTGTCACCTACAGTCTCTCTCCCTAAAACCTTCAAACAAGGTCAGAAATCTAGGGGTAATACTGGACTCAGACTTAAATTTTAATAGCCACATCAAATCAGTAACATCAGCAGCTTTTTACCATCTAAAAAACATTGCCAGGATCAAAAACATAGTGTCTAAAGCAGACTTGGAGATTCTTATCCATGCATTTGTCTCCAGTAGGTTAGACTACTGCAATGGCCTGCTCACAGGTCTGTCCAAACAGGCTGTAAAACAGCTGCAGTACATTCAAAATGCAGCAGCTCGAGTCCTGACAAGAACCAGGAAGTACGACCACATTAGTCCAGTCCTCAGGTCTCTGCACTGGCTTCCTGTGGCTCAGAGAATAGACTTTAAAACAGCTCTGCTTGTGTACAAGTCTCTCCATGGCCTCGCACCAAAATATATTAGTGACATGTTAGTCCCATATGAACCAGCCCGGACTCTGAGGAGCACAGGGACTGGACTCCTGTTAGTGCCCAGAGTCAGAACTAAACATGGGGAGGCTGCTTTTCAGATTAATGCTGCTAAAATCTGGAACAGTCTTCCTGAAGATGTGAGACAGGCCTCCTCTCTGACAATGTTTAAAACCAGGTTAAAGACGGTTCTGCTTAACTGTGCATACAACTGAGGGATTTTATATTTTTATCTTTCTTTTTAATGTTCTGTGATAATTTATGATTTTAATGCTTTCTTGTTTTGTTCAGCACTTTGAATTGCCTTGTGTATGAATTGTGCTATATAAATAAACTTGCCTTGCCTTGCCTTGCCTTGCCTTGCCTTGCCCTTGCCAGGTGAATGCTGAAACATTTGAAAATCATGAAAAATGTAATTATGTGAAACTAATACATAAAAAGAAGGCAAACATTTTTTTCTTCTTTTTTAAAGTCAGATGGAGGAGAATCGACAATGGAAAGAGGAGATCTCGAAAAGGAATTTACCTTTGCAACATAATTACAGAAAGATACAAAGACTGCATTTGTGGTTTTTACAAGCAAAATAATGCAATTAGAATAAAGGCATAAAATAATTGGCACTAGTCACTTTACCATAAGTCCATAATATATATTACTTCACATTTTAAGTTGTGAAAAAGAATGTACTTTGACACACTATTAAAATTACTCAGGATTCATCATTCACTACAATATAATGTAAAACATGTAAATCAAATGACATACCTCTGACAGTCCAACTGTAGATGAAGCAATGGCTCCAATTGAAGTTGAACCCGAGGGCTGGTTCTTAGGAAGGAAAAACACAGTAAACAGATAAAAGTTGAGGTTACAATAAGAAATAAAAAATATTACCAATAGTTGAACATTACAAACCTGATATTCGAAGTGTATGATTTAAATGAAATTCTGTATTTGTCAAGGTTCTGGACAAGTACATTGACATCCGCATCAATAAATTCCTTAAAATCTTCACTGTATATTTGAACAGAATGAAAGTCGGCTTTGTCTGTTAAAAAGCTTGTGCTTTTATCAATCAGTTCTTTAATTGTGTTGAGATGGTAAACTCTTTTGGCAATCTCTTTGTCATCCAGCACAATAGTCACAAGAGATCTGGGATTCTCCTCCATCTGACAGGGAAAAAAAGAACAAAATAAAAAAAATATGTATATATTCTTACCTGTCAAACTGCACACACCGCCAAATTAAGCATCTTTAAACAAATGCTAAATTATAATGTATGTATTATAGCTATTTAAATTACAGATCATGAATTCATAAACACGGGTTATCTAAAATATTTTAAAAAGGCTCGTTAAAATTTACAAGACTAGTGGAAAATGTAAGCAATAATCAACTACGCGAGCAAGAATTAATTACCATAAGTATATCTTGTATGCAATAAAACGGCTCAGTTTACTCGTGCTTCCGCAGCAGCCCTCAAACCTCAACGCTAGCCTCCTGCTTCCATGACAGGGGTGAACACCGGACTCACCTCAAATATCACATATAAAGCCAGCATTGGCCATTTCACATTTACAGTCCTCTTATGAGCATTTCTAAACTGTGTGCCCGCACCATGAATCTATTGGATGCTTTGGGTTAGCACTACCACATCCGAGTGTCTAACCTGGAAAAACAGAGCTACGAAAGCGGGGGTCAATTTCGCGCAATTATTGATAAATGATCTGTCAGATCAGTTATCCCCACATATCTTGATCGATTACATCGTTAAGTGTTAACCACAGCTACTCACTTCGTCTGGTTAGGGTTAACTAACAAGTTAGACGAGAGCGATGTCAAGGCTAGCGTGGCTAGTAGCCCAATGAGCGCCAGATAGCCGACGCATTGCGCCACTTTAATGCCAGTTTCAGCCCACAAGGAACAAAGAATAGTCACGCTGGCATCTTGTATGATCCATTTTAACAAGCCCACCAATTAATATCAAATGTAGTAACGTTACGTTTAGCACAGACCGTTAACAAGCTCGCTCCTTAGCCACAATAGAAAGCTAACATAAAAACGAACAAGTGACTCCACAAACCTCTTTTATCGTGTTAATCACTGCACGGCTCATATAGCAAAGCAGACAACACTGTAATGAGAATTAATACTTATTTATATTATAATAGTTACCTTATTTTGTTGACGCGGGCAGCCCAGATCCATGGGGCAGCCTCGCTCCGGTCCGGTTTTCAAAAGACAGATGAGTGTCTGCCGCTGCTCTGAACCTGATTGGCTGTTAGGTCAACACAGTGATGTGTAGCTCTTGTGACGGTCTAAGTCGCTGGAAGAGCTAAAGCGGACTTAGCCTGCCACCTTGTGGCGATAAGATGTACTATTTTTCACGCAGCTGCGTGATTCCCCGAGAAGCGTGAATGAAGACGACAAAACGGAATGGGACCTACTGTAGTGAACAAAAAATGGCTACAATCAGTAGTTGTCCTCTCATACACAGTAAGACATATCTCAGTGAGCCTTTGCCACGTGTTGGGCTCAATTCGCAGCTGCTGAAGCATTGGGTTCAATGTTGAGAAAAACTGCCAAAGTATTTGAAATTCACTAAGAAATAATACCCCACAACAATGAGTCAGCCAGTGTGATGACAATTGCTAAAATAACTTTTTTACACCATCAAATTCAGAAATGAACATTATTTTGAAAGGTGAACCTCTCCTAATGAACATTGTTCTTACCTTGGAGCAAGCTGCTCTTGATAGTAGATGTGCTTTGCAATAAATACTAAGTCCTTCAGATAATGTTATTTGACATACATCTAAGCCTACTAAGAGACTTTTAAAAATTGACATGACTAACTGTATTTCAAGTAGTCAAGGCAAACAATCGGCCGAACAGGGACTTGAACCCTGGACCTTCAGATTAAAAGTCTGATATTTCCAAAGCCTGCAAAACTGTAATCAAGTTTACCATTTGACATCATATAGAAGGACCTTGAGTTGCGTTTGCTTGAATGAAAACGGGAAGTTTTTTGGCCCTTTTTGAACATTCACTTACCACAGTTCCAAATATTGAATACATTTATAACGTTTCCCTTCACCCTTTAGCCAAAGTCCAAGTGCGTATTTTCTTTTCTTCAGTTGCTTGGAAGAATGTCAAACCATTTCAATATTGCTCCCCTTTTCAAAAGGCTTGCCAGGAGTGGGATTTGAACCTAAACCTCCATTGGAGACGAGAAAACCCAGGTTAAGAGTTGAGGAAGTCATGGAGAACAACTCTCCAACGTGCCAGGCGCCATCCAATGTGAGCGTTTTCCCACTCAAGTCTGGTACGGCAACGAGCTGGAGTCAGGTCAAGACCCCGGTGAGGACGAACGACGATCATGCAGTTGAGCTTCCCTGAGACTGTTTCTGACAGTTGATGCAGAAATTGTTTGGTGGCTGGTCTCAGACAATCTTGGAGGTAAAGGTCCGGGGCTGGTGTGGTTACACGTGGTCTGCGGTTGTGAGGCCGGTCCACAATTGAAGGTTGGATCCAGTCCTGAACTCTTAGTCCCTGTAAACACAAACAGAAAGCTATTGGCAATTTCATGTCACCCCAGATGGAACTCTGACCTTTTTAAAAAGCAACATTTATTCTTTGACCGAAAGAATTCTTTTTCTTTTAGCAGAGGATGGTTTCGATCCATCGACCTCTGGGTTATGGGCCCAGCACGCTTCCGCTGAGCCACTCTGCTGTCTTGGGTGGCTTGCAAGCGCTCAGTCCGACTTGGATTAGTCAAAATGAAGAAAGGTTTCTCACCCATCTACTTAGCAGGTTTTCCCATGGGATGTCCAACCACACCCACAGGTTATGAATCTCCAACTTCGGCCTTTCATTTCCTTGAGAAAGTTATTTGGATTAAAGATGAAACGTTGGGAAAACCTGCTAAGAATTACAGATGAAGGGAAAGAAACCTTTCTTCGTTCTGCTGTCTTGAGTTGCATCTTTAGATCAAGTCCCATTGTAGAAAATGACGATTTCCACCTAGGACTGCACTCATCCCTCACCCCAGATGGGACTCGAACCCATAATCCCTGCCTTAGGAGGGCAGTGCCTTATCCATTAGGCCACTGGGGCACTGTCTTCTGGGCGTTCAGCTCCAGGTTGTTACCACTGCACCAGGACACCAGCCGGTCCACCTTCCTCCTGTAGGCGGACTTTACTAGACAGGCGCTTTGACCAACTAAGCCACAGCACCACTCAAATATCTTCTCAACCATCAGTTTGACCTGATAAAGGCCCTTGAGTTGCAATAGATTTTTTTGTAAAATCTCGGCACTGCCGGTATGTGCACCCAAATTCTGTTTATATCTCAATGGTTTGATCAGACTCAGGACTAGTCAATTTTCAGGTCCCTTGGATTTTTTTAGAAAACAGCAGACCATGTGGCCTAATGGATAAGGCGTCTGACTTCGGATCAGAAGACTGAGGGTTCAAATCCCTTCATGGTTATTCAGAATCCTTCTTGTACTGTTTGTCTGTGATCAATCTAAGAAGGCACTGGTGGGATACAAATCCATCATCTATTTCCAAGACAGGCGCTTTGACCAACTAAGCCACAGCCACACTCAAGTACTCGTTTGACCTCATAGAGAAAGACCATGAGTTGCAGTAGTGTGTAGTAGTCAGTTATGTGGTCCTTTTACAACATATACTTACCACAGTTCCAAACAGGGTAACAAGAGCTTGACTATTGACTGGAACTCTTGGGTTCCCTTAACAGGGATATTTTAGCAAAATCTCAGAAGGTTCAAACATGTTTGTCATTAGTTATAGAAGTATGAACGTGCCTCCCCCCCTGGCTGCCAAAACCCGGGATCGAACCAGGGACCTTTAGATCTTCAGTCTAACGCTCTCCCAACTGAGCTATTTCGGCACATGCTCGTTGTCAGTAGTGAGAACTTGGCTTGACACTGAATACCCCACGGATAAAATCATATAGTGCATTAAGATAGGGCAAATAAGTATCAAATGCAAAGATTATCGCACAATGTGGGGAGTTCAGAATCATATCACTGGCACAACTAAGACTGCCAATTTTATGATTCTATTTATCTGTGTTGAAGGTTTAAAGGGACTGTTGGGATTTGAACCCGGGACTTCCTATTTACTAGACAGGCGGTTTGACCACATAGTTGAGAAAATCACACACAGAACTATGTAATTACAGCAAAGACACGATCACTTGGAACAACTGGGCTCGTCCGGGATTGGAACCCGGGACCTCTCGCACCCGAAGCGAGAATCATACCCCTAGACCAACGAGCCACAGGAAGCATGCAGAAGAGGTCGCCAAATTGCTGGTACATCCAGTGATATTTACAGTAGGTCCCATTCCGTTTTGTCGCCTTTCCACGCGTGAATCACACGAGACTCACGTGTGATTCACGCGTCTTTTATTTTCCCCCCTCCCAGTGACGTTGCAATGACCAAAACAACCACCAGGTGGCACTTGTGAGCAGGGTTACATTGGCGAGTTTCTGCCCCGCGCACATCGACAATCTGGTTAAAATGGGCAACTCCTTGTAGCAGGCCAGTCTCTGGAATAACCCGCAGACATTAAAACTACTGCATATAACGTAAACTTTTGCATCACGTTGGTGATCTTTCCAAAAAGAGAGAATATCGTTATGGAAAGAGAAACTATTGGTAATATAACGCTGAACGTTATTTGACTCAAACAGCTCCGCTGGTGTCTCCTCCCACTCAGAAAAAAAGCAGACGCCTTTTCTCTGGCATCTCTAACATTTATAATAAATACATAAATATAACAAGAGTACAGTAGCTTTTGATTAGTATTTATTATTTATTATTGCTTTTTAGTACATCTATTTATGTTTTTAGACACATTCTATTTGTATTTATTTTTATCATTTACTATTTTTAATTATTTATTGTATCTACCCATTTACTATTGTTATTATCAATATTAGGCAGCTGCCATTTTTCTTTTTATTGTCACATTTTATTGTTAAATATACAATATATATATGGAAACACTTATTTCAAAGCATGCCACAGTTTCTCCCGGGGTCAGAGAGGATGAGAGCCGCAGCAGAAGTCAAGACATTAATATATCTCACGTAAATCAAAGTGTTGTTTACTTCTGTTGCCATGTTGACGTACTAGAAACTAGTGAATAAACGCGCGACCATAGTGTATACTTATTCGAATATGTCTTAATGGAAACGACCGCTTTTGCGAATTACAGGTTTTTCGAATTTTGAAATGTATCGAAAAAGTTTTTGCGCATTATTCAATGGAAACGCAGCTAGTGTCAATAGTAGTGCAGGTTTTTCAGTCCAAATGCAAGTGACTTAAAGTGACTTATTGTACAGTTTGACAGCGGTGGGGAATATAAGAAAAGTAAAGAAAAAAAGTATTCAGAATTGCACAGTCAGACACACACACACACACACACACACACACACACACACACTCTCTCTCTGCACTATAGTGTCACCTGTATGTTTTGCACCACGCTCTTGAACTGGGATGAGCGCTGAGTCCAGGTGTTGACCAGGTCCATGGCCCGGTCAAAGTTCTTCACATATTCACCGTACATCTTCATGAACGGAGCCAGCTTCTGGAGAATGTCCCCGATGCGCGGGTTTGAGTCCCTGCACACAACACACAACACACATGTAAGGGTTATGGAAAACACACACACACCATCAACCACATCAACCCCTGTGCTATAACAACTCCAATCACCCTCCGCATGCAGCACAACATCCTGCTTCTCACTTTCAAAGCCATCCACAACCTCCCCCCTCTATATCTCTCAGAGCTCCTCCACATCCGCACACCTGAGTAAGTAAGTCACATGTATTTATATAGCGCCTTTCCGAAGTCACAAAACGCTTTACAATTGTTGTGGGCATTTGTCTCTTACTCCACACAGAGATGGGAGCAAAAACGCCATACAGGAGGGGCATGCCAGACCTATTCTACATGTTTTTTTAGTGGTAGGGGAAACCGGAGCACCTGGAGGAAACCTACGCAGACACAGGGAGAACATGCAAACTCCAGACAGAAAGGCCTGGTGGTGGGATCGAACCCAGGCCCTCCCTCCAGCGTCCAATGCCTCCTGCTCACCACGTTCTGTTCCCCAGGCCTGGAACACCTCCGCAGCACTAAAAACACATCTGTTCTGCTCCATTCACTCT